CGTTTCTTGACCAGAGAGGAACCCAGAGGTTTAGGCCTTAACCAGCGAATGATGCACGGGTGGCCACAGATGAAGACTGACCTGTATAATTGGGGGGTAGGGAATGGGTAGGGACCTGGGGTTTCTAGAAGAGGTAAAGTTTGTGTTATCAGTCTATTCTGATTCAAGTGGTTCGTGCAGGTAACAGATGGGTGTGGATCCCATCAGGAGCTATGAGTGTTAGACTTTGAGACAATGGTTTGGCCTTGCTGAAATAACACAGCTGCATTTACTCCTGTGTGCTGGGCCTTGAGAAAGGTGCCTCCTTAGAAATCAGTCCTTCAGCAGATCTGAAGTCAAGGGATCTGCAGGGGAGGCTGCTGATGGTGCCCTAACAATTACTCCCCCTTCTTCAATAGTAAAGCTCCTAAATGTTGGCTGGGTCAAGTGCCATCCAGAATAAAGGCTGCATTTCCTAAATCCCCTTGCAGCTAGGTGGACCCACATGATTAAGTCCTGGGTGTGTGCAAACCTATGCAACTTTTAGGGATTATCCTTAAAGGAAGAGGCGGTCTTTCTCTCTCTCCTTTCCTCTTTCCAGCTGGAATATGGATGTGATGGGTGGAGCTGGAGCAGTCATTTTGGACTGAGGTGGAAGGTGTACATTGAGAACAGTGAAGACACCAGATTGGAAAAACATGGATCCCGATGACCATGCAGCTAGTGTACCAGCTCTGGACTCCTGTGCTCATCCAAGAGAGAAATAATTTCTATTTTGCTTCAGCTACCTTTACTTTGGTTTTCAGATTCAAATTTTATACCCCAAAATGAGATGCTGCAAATAACATCTAAAATGTAGCACTGGCTTAGTGGAATTGGCAGGCCAGCAGAGCGCAAGAATAGAATTGCCTTTTACACAATGCCTACACATCTGATGAGACTGTCATCTGCAGTAACTTGGAGGACAGACCACATGCTGACGGGAGCCATGACAATAGAGACGATGGAGGGAGGATGCAACACGTAGGACTATCGCTCCTTGTTGCTCTTCACAAAGTCCTGTGGAAGAGACACGAGCTAGGGCTACCGCCGACCCAACTCAGCAGAGATGGGGGAGGGAGGATGCTGCTTCGATAAGGGAGGCACTGTTTGCAGCCTGAACTCAAAACTAAGGTTTTGAAGTATAGAAATGCTTCTGTTCGACTGCTTTTGTTCTCCAGACTGCAGCTGTTGGGAGCAGTGGCCTTGAAGTGGCAGCTTTAGCAGGGATAAGGCCGGGGGCGGCAAGCCATTTCAAGACTTCTCAGCCAGAAAATGCAAACCAGGTAGTTCCAAAGATCGGTGTTGCCTCAGCGAGGGGAAAAAAGCCCAAAAGTTACAGGGCACAGAGAGAAGGGGTGCTTCGGAGGAAACATTACTGACAAAACGCTGGCCATTGAAATCAGGTAATGTTGCATAAGGGGTCATTATCCTAGTCTCTCTAAGTTGGTACATGTTTAAAATATTCTGTAATACACACTTTAAAAATACAAGACCATGTATAAACAAACAAAGCATTGCCTTCCCACTGTAGCTTTCTGTTCAGGTGCCCTTTGAGGAGGCAGAAGCAGAGCAGGCAATGCCAGTCTAGAACAATCTTTAGCTGTGGGTACTTGATGAAATTCCACTGGCAAAGAAACCAAACCCTGAGGACCCCGGGAACTGCCCCAAAAGTAGGAAGGCTACAGAAGCTGTGATATTCCCCAAAGGGTCCTCCCTTTGCAGGTCCCATTCAGGATTGGCTGATAGGTCAACAGACAAGGAGTTTCTCCTGGAGAGCTGGGGTGGCTGTCATGATCTCCCAGGGACTCCTGGGCGAGCCAGGGTTGTCTTTACTCTTCCTGCACAGTGGCCTCGGACAGCCACTCAGAGAAGAATTTCCCATTCTGTCCTCATGAGTTTTCAGTGTCTGTTTGCCTGTTCTTACTTCACCACTGTTCAGAGTTGTGCTGGGAGAAGGTAATTTCTGGAGTTTATAGGCCACGAGACCCCAAGAAGCCACCCAGAACTGATGGAGACCGCCCATCACCCAAAGGTGATTTTATCTTGAGCTTCATGCCCTACCAGCATGGGGTTCAGGTTTGCACATTTCAGGGAGAGGAGTGGCCTCTACGTGAGGCAAGAAAGATAACCAAAGGGTCAAACTAGGGCAGGACCGCTACGTGCTCTTCAAACACATTCTTTGTTTCTCAGGAACACGACTCTTGAGTTTCCATTAGGCACATGGGTTCTTGGAAGAAAAACTACCTTTCCCAGACGCCCTTGCAGTAGGTATGGCCCTGTGACTAAGATCTGACCAATGGGATGTACAACATCCTGACAAAGGGGTCTTGCATTTCTTCTCTCACTTCGCTCCATCCTGCTGGCAGTGAGAACATGGCTGCAGCCGCCATCCTGGACCTGATGCAGAAAGTGCACACTGGGGATGGCAGAGCCACAAAGAACCTGGGACCCGGGGATCCTGGAGCCACCGGGCAGCCTTGCATGACAGAGAGTAGAGGGCCTTCTACTCTGTGGAACCTGTTGCTGTCTTGAGAGACGAACTTAATTCTGATCTAGAATTGCCACCAAAGGGCAACACAGAGACAGGCGCTGTGCATGGTCCTGCTCCTGGGGAGCAGTGTCCTCCAAGACTCAGTACTTATTAAAAGAAACCAAACAGCCCTGGCTGGTGTAGCTCAGTGGATTGAGCGAGGTGGGCCTTTTTTCCCTCTCTCCTTCCTTCCCCTTGTTATGCAAACAAAATAAGGAAACACAGAAATCAAGACAATTATTAGAATAAAAATGCCAACACACAACGCTAGTGTTGCATAGCTTGAGTGTTTTTATATGGATCAAATTATTTTCAGTAGAGTCACTGGCAGAACAGATCTGAATGAAAAACATTCCCAATTTACAGAAAAAAATATTGCTGATCGGTAAGGATACTTTTCAAAACTACAGAACACAAATCCTTCATTGCTCCAAACAGAATGTGAGTTATAAAGATGGCGGACAGTCTGAGGTTGGAGTTTTGGCCTTCTGTACTTGGCCTGTCCTCAGTCTAGGATGGCAAGAATCAGAGGTGGCGATCCCTGTCTTTGTGTTCAATGACGCCAAGGTGTGAGGGACAATCTCTTGGGGACAAGTTACAGAAGTGAGATGGGTCTCTCTCCAGAAGCTATACAGCTTTCATTTAGAATTAATTTCAAATCTCCAGTAAACAGACTCCTAGAATGGCAAAAGTGGAAAGAACCAAAGAACTCATGTAGTCCAGCCCAACCTTCCTACTTTCCATATGAGGGAACTGAGGCAGAGGGCAGCAGATCTCGCCTAAGTCTAGGTCTAAACTGAAGACCCGCCCCTTGTGATCTTTACCCATTGATGCTGCCTCTTGGTGCTTCTGGAGGATGAAGAGGCAGGCCTGGTGCGTGCACTCCTGAGCAATACAAACATGGCAAGTAGCAACAGAGCCGCGATACCATCTACACTGAGCTGCGAGCATAGCTAGCTATAAATGACTGTGGTAGGAATTGAGGACCAACACAAGGTTGTAATCCATGCTCCCCTGCCGCCCACATCACCCCCAACCAAACGGAGTTAGGTATCTTTTTTCTGGAAGGTCAAAACACCAAGTGCAGGTTCCAGTGGGCGACACCAAAAGGGATCTCCCATTTGGTTAATCAAGTCAGCACACAGAGGCATCTAAATGAGATCTTTTGGAGAGCGCCAGAGCGCAGCATGTAAATGTCTCCTCCGTTCATTCCCAGCCAAATTTCTCAAGCAAAATATTTATCCTGATTTTGATGTTCTTCACTTAGAACTAAAAAAAGGCTTCTTAAGTATAATTGCTTAAGTGTATAAGGTGGTACAGCAGAAATCTCGTTACAGAATTTAATCGGTCGTATCTACAGCATTTACTTGCATATTTTTGCTCTTTTAGGTAATTCTCTTGTCTTGTTCGGCCCCAGCGTTTCATGGATTTTGCTCCTGGTAACATCTGCTGGGTCTGCACTGCCTTACAAGAGGCAGAAGAAGGTTGGTTTAAGCTTTGATAAGCTTCTTGGAAATTTATGTGATAATAACATTTCTGCAACCATATTAAACAATTAAAAAAAACAATAAAATATGAATCTGCAAACACATTTAGACGTCTCAAGATTTTTCCAGACAGGGCAACAGCACATTTTTTATCAAATGGCAATGACTCGCTAAGTATTCTGATGGCATCTGAACTCACGTCAGCTTTCCCACCTTCCCTTCCCCTCTGCTGTTTCCTGGAGAGAACTTTTCTGAGTCCCGGTTGAGCAAAGGCGCTGGCATAATATTCCTCTGTGCTTCTGTTCCCTTCAGAAGAAAAACAATTTCCTCTCATGACAACCCATATGACTCTACTGTTTCATGGCTGTTTGGACCAATCACTGGCGCAGTTAACTTTTCCAAGTAATTTATCCGCAGCAGTGTCAGATTCCAGCTGATGCAAATTCACATCAAGGGCACCCTAGTTTGTCCTCATACTCAACTTCAAGGTCTCAGTTTTATTTCTCCTCCAGCACAGATGAGGGGACAGGCATGGTGCTCTTCAGTGACTAGGCCGAGAGCATGTTACTGGTGAGCGCACCCGGGAACCAAAGTTCCTGCCGCTCACCTCCACTCTCCTGCTTCCTCCTGCTGGGCGGGCAGAAAGGCCGCCAAGGATGGGGCTCAGGGGTTACCTGTCCCACGGTACAAGGGTGCAGCACCACAGAACACCTCTCTCCCACCCCTGCCATTTAGCAGTAAACTATTGGTGGGGAAAGATGGGCAGTGTGTGAGTAAAGGTACTAGGTCTGAGATCAAGGTCTTCATTCCCTTTGCAGCCAGGAAACTACTCAGTGGTCCATCAGAATGGACTCACTTCTGCGCACTGTAATACGGAGCATCCTTTTTTTACAATTCCTGTTAGGGAACTGCCCTGGCTTCCTCTTCTGGGTACATATAAAGCGCTATTTAAACATGCCACATTTAAAGGGATTTTTGTAATTTATTTTCCTTAAATAATAATAATTTGCTACAATCTTGTCACAAATTTTTAAAAAAATTTAACACAGTACTAACAAAGGCAGAATTCTTTAGGACAGTCAGAATCGTGGTGCATTTAGAATAAATTAACATCAAATTGCATTTATATTCAGATAGTCTGATCCTCTCCTTTGAAATGAAATGGAGACCATTGTAACCGAGGGTGAATACGCGCATTTGTTCTTTATATAAACGCCACTGTCATTTGAATCAAGTCAGGAATCCTGAGAAACATCGCTGACCCGCACCCACAGACAGCCCTCCAGAAGCTGGGTTTCCCACGGTTCAATGCCTAGAAGATCGTTCCTCAGAAGGGCCAAAGATTCTGAACAGTCAGATGATATCCCATCTCCCCTCAGGAAAACCGTAATGTTTCAAGTGTAAGAGCTCGAAGTAGCAGCAATCCATGTAGTAGATTCAGTAGTTGACGGTTCCAGTCTTGGGCACTGAGAGAGAGCACGGTGAGAGGCGGCCAGGTGAGCAGCACCTGCTTCTACAACTAACGCGCCGAAGCCAAGACGACAGCCGACGTCCTCATTCTCAGTCTCAACTCGAAACACACCTGAACCTGCGGCACTGACCCGGTTCAGGCACTGCCTGTGAACCTGAAGGGGGTCACTAATGCAGGCAGACAGTGGGCGTTTTGGACACGATTGGCAGGGGCAGGCGGGATAGAGGGAGGGCGGGAGAGGGGCTGCTCATCCTTCAGCCGGAAAGCCCACCCCCCTGCGTTTGGTACATTCATCAGGTTTCCTCGGCAGCGGGGCAGGTGACCGCTGACTGTTCCAGCTCGGTCTAGGAGCACATGGAAGGCTTGGCTCGTAGAGTCCTGTACACACATATATACAAAGCATCGACGCAACTCGAGATGGCCACACCGTCTTATTCTGGGAGGTCAACTGCGCCTCTGGCATCCCCTCTCAATTGCCCAAGGATGGTTTACAGGATCACGGTGACGTCTAGGGAGGGAGGCATTAGGACAGGCCCCGACTGGAATCCCCTTTTCTGTATTTCTCTCTGGAGGAGTATGGGCCTAAACGCTACCACTGCATGCGTATCTACACGGGCCCTATGTACACGATACCTTTTTAAAGAGATTTAAAGTGCCTGGGCTCAAATGTGCCCTGTCCTTCCCCACACCACAGTCTACAGATTCCTCTTGCTGCTTCCAGAGAGAAGGTCTGTCCGTAAGAGGATGCCCTTGGAAAGAGGAATGAACGTTTTCACAGTTGTCTTTAACTGGGATCCAGCACTTGGACTAAGCCTTCTTCATAAACACGAAGAATCGCTTCGCACACAAACTTGTACTGGCTCTGGGAAGAAAAGAAAGCAGCCCCATGAACGTTACGTCACACCACACGCCGAGTTACTGGAGAAGTGCCCTCCGAACTCCAACTCAGGGCCAGGCCGGCCCTGGCACTACACGCCACGGGGGCAGAGTGAAGAAGATGCACCCACAAACCCATTGTTGCTGTGAGGTGAGGGGTGGGAGCTGTCCCCAGAGAGGGACGGGCGGAGCGTCATGGAATCCCAGCAGAGGGAGGGACCGGCTGTCTGTGGGAGTCAGGGCAGGGGTGGCAGTTGTTGGGGGGTGGCCACTCCAGGGGAAGCTCTGAAGACGATGACCCTTCCTGAGAAGTGCGGTCAGGGCTCACAGTCCTTGTCCAGAACACTGGGGACTCTGGATTTTTGTCTTAAAGAAGAGCCACCGGGCCCTGGCTGGGTAGCTCAGTAGGTTAGAGCATTGCCCTGCTACGCCAAGGATGTGGAATAACGAATCTATGTTTCTCTCTTCCTTCCTCTCTCTCTCAACTCAATAATTTTTTTTTTAGAAGAAAAGCCACTGAAAGGCACTCTGCAGAATACGGTTCTTTATATCAACAAACCCCATTTCAGTGATGTGCACAGGCTGCAAGGAAGCATTTAGACTGAGCTTCACTAGCCTGGAAGATACACCAAAATGATGCACTTGAAAACTTTTAAGCCAGCAAGGAGGTCTTCCATATCTCAAAACAGGGTAGAAAATAGCCTCAATCACCTGACTTTCCCCCTTTTAACCAGACTTTCTGGGTACAAATGAATATAAAATTGGTAAGAGCTCAGAATTTTTAGAGAAATCGTATATACTGCCCACGAGCCTGTGAGGATACAACACAGAACTCCACTCTTTCCTCTGTTAATGCCTTCTAGGGGTTTTTCCGCAGAGGCCGCCCCTCCAGAAGGCCTTCCCTGACTTTCCAAAGCCGGCTTTTGATTGGCTCCCACTGAGTTCTTAGCTATCCCTGCTGAGATTTGTAATAGACTAATCCAGCTCTCCTACCATACATACGAGCTTGGGTCTCTGCGTGTGTGCAATGATCTGATGACCTGAATAAATAAGAAATGGTCCGTTTTTGCAGATGGGGCAACTGAGGCTGGGAGAGAGGTTAAGAGATTATTCAAAGGCCGCCCAGTAGGGAGCCTGGATCATGGTCCCCCACCACCTTTCTGGTAGATCTGGGGGAAAACCACAAGAGCTCCTCTTCAGGACACGTGCAGTGCCGGGGACCCAAGTGTGACAGGTGGGAGAAAGCACACAGGAAGGGTGGGTGGGGCCGTGCAAAACAGGCAGCGGGGTGAAACCCTCGGGTGACCTTACTTTACCTCTCATGGACAAATGATGGGCCAGTGGTCGGCAATGCAGAATGCGACCTGGGCTGCTTCCCGGCCGAGTGGCTGGCAGGAAGCAAATCGTGGAGGCAGCTAAAGGCTGCCAGACGCAGTGGGCTGGGGAGTAGTTCAGCCTGTCCAGCTCTGACTGTGGGCAAGTGACTCAGTCCCCTCAAGCCTTGGTCACCTGACCTGGAAAGCCCTTGGCACAAGCCTGGCCCAGGGCAAGCTGGGGGGGTGGTCGGGGGGAGCGTTAGCCACTGCAATTATTTTTATTATTGGATTTCCACTCACTGATGTCTGCACCATCATGGCGCGCTGGTCTCGCATTTTCCGGACAATATCCAGCGGGTAAACAGGCAGGTTCCTCTCAATCAGGCACATGGCTGTTTCCATGGTGACCAAGACACCAGTTCGACCTATTCCAGCGCTGGGGGCAGGGAAGGCGGGGAGAGGAGCAGAGACTTGGGATTTGGTCAGTCAGCATTTCTGCACAGCCCAGCTTGACTCCTCCCCAGTTCCCACTTTTACTCAGACTTCCTCCCCTGACCTTCAGGAGTACAAAATGCACACGGAGGGCAGAAAAATGCTCTCCTCTGATAGCCTGAGGCTGGGGGCTTAAAAGTCTAAGGAAAGAAACCCACCTTTAAGTACAAACTCCACCCCCTGTTTTATTTACATCACTTGTGAAGGCCAGTTGCCTCGGGGCAGGTGGGGGGTGACAGAAGGACTTTCTTCCCCAACTCTGCACTGAACTCGGGAAGTTCATGCTTTCATAAAGCCCCGAATCTTTTGTCACAGCAAAGAATAGAAGCCTTGTAAAAGCACTGTCCAGTCTTGTGGGATTCAGGCGGACTTGACGTCTGCCATCTTTCTCCAGGCCTCTCCCAAGGAGTGGCAACGGAAATACCACCCCCCAAACCAACAAGCCGGGTACCTGCAGTGCACGAGGACGGGCTCGGCGTCCACCCTCAGGGACCTCACGTAGCTTACGAATTCCAGAAAGTCCGAGGAGTCATCGGGCACGCCATGGTCAGGCCACGCGACGTACTGGAGGTGTGTTACAGTGTGCTCTTCTCCGGTCTGTGGGACAGGCGGCGGGGCTCAGGCAACCCAGAGGGTAGGCGGGAAAACCCAGCCCCGCTGCAGCCAGGAGCTCCTGCGGCCTGACCCGCTTCCGCCCACTGTGCACAGCCCCGCAGGGGCCCTGGCCAACTCCCACCCACGCTCCTCACCTCCTCCCCCACACCCACTCCCTCTCAGCCCAGGCCGCCCCCCCACCATGGGCTGCTTCTCCACTTCCGCCCACAGGGAGATCCTTCCTTTTGCTCCTACTGCCTTTGCCATTAGGGCCACAATCAGTAGCTCTTTTTCCTTTCTTCCTTTGTTTTTTTTTTTTTGTAATGGGCAAAATTTATATAACACGAAGTTTACCAGTATTGAGTGTACACCTCAGTGGTTTTAAGCACATTCACAGTGTTGTACATCAACCACCACTATTTACCCCTTAAACATTAATCCTTCATTCCCTCCTCTCCAAGGCCCGGGCAACCACCATTCTCCTTTTTGTCTCCATGACCTTCACTGCTCCAGGTGCTTCATGTAAGTGGAATTATACAGTATTTGTCCTTTAGTGTCTGGCTTCTTTCACTTAGCATAATGTCCTCAAGGTTCACCCATGTTGTAGGAAGCGTCGGAATCTCCTTCCCTTTTAAGGCTGAATAACATTCCGTCGTGTGACTGCACCCCATTTAGTTTATCCGTTCACCCCTCCATGGACACGGGCCAGTCCCACCTGTTGGCTACTGTGAACGGTGATGCTGGGAACACGAGCTCTGCTTTTACTGAGATGCTCACCAGCTGAGAATGTGGAGCAGACTGGGAAGGGCAGCTCTACGGGGACCACTGAGGACGCTGACTGAGCACTGGCCTCTAAACAGCGCCCTCCCCAGGCCACTCGCTGCCAGGGGGCTGCTCACCTTGGTGTTGGTGACCAGAATTTCTCGGAACACATAGGCAATGGTGCAGTCCTCCGACTGGCAGCGGATGTGAAAGTTGCCATGCTCCGAGACGTCGGGGGGATCGGGCCAGTACTGGTGACATTTGGTCTGCAAGGGAACCACTGGGTATGAGTGACTCCCACTGTGGGGGCGGTGCACAGGAGCAGGCGACTGGACAGATGGGCCGGGCATCTGACCAGGACCTTCGCACTCACACCGGGTTCTCCTGCTTCGAGAAAAGGAACTCATGTGGGGCTGACTTGCTCTGTGGCGGTTCCAAGGGGACAGAGGAACGCACCTTCCTCTTACGGAGAATGGGCTGGGGCTTGGCCGGCCAGGAGCCGGGCCACAGCTCACAATCCAGACTGGGGCTGGAAGCTAGAGGATGAGTACGGAGACTTACCTTCTTCATCACCAGGGCCTGGACTGAGGAGCGACCTGTCCTCCCCCACTGCCTCCACCCCCAGTCAAGCCCACTCCAGTCTCTCAGGCCCCCTTCTCATCTCAACACCCTCTTTCTGCCTCACTCCCCCCCCCCCCGCCGAGAGGTACAGGCCTCAAGGCACCACGGTAAAGAGCACACATTTGGGAGTCAGACAGGACTCTGCCGAAGTTAGCCGTATGACTTCAAACCTGCTACTTAACTGCTCTGATTTTCATATCCTTCTCCCAAAAGACGGGGACAGTGCCTGCTTCTCAGACAGTGACAGGCTGGAGACAGCAGTGTGCAGTGCCTGGCTCACTGTGGGGGAAGGATTGAGTCACCGGTGCCCATTATTACCGCTGGTACTCCAGGCCCCACGTCAGCCTGAGTAGGGATGACGAGGGATCCCATACAAATCCAAACGAAAGAAATTCCTAAACCGAGAGGACCATCCCTTTGCATTTGAGCAGCAGCTCCTAGGCCTGCAAAATGCTTTCATATAGGGCTCATGAAGCTGATACTTCCAGACAACAGATGAGGAAACCCCAGGCTCAGCAGAGTTAAGGGTCTCGGGCTGCTGTGGCTAACCTGCAGGCTGGCAGACCCCACTGCCTCCCCACCGGCAAACTTTCCCATAGATAGCATACTCCTGCTTCTGGATGCGAAGCAAAATTCAGGGCAACCTGTCCATCTCATCATAGTTCTGCCTGTCAAAAATTTTGACTCACTCAAAAAAAATTTTTTCTCTAAGCCTACAGTTGCATCAAATGTAAAAACTACATTTGTTTACAGCTGGAAGAGGATATGTAAACATGGAAACAGCTTTTCTACTCTTATTTTCAAATGTCACAGTTTGAACTTAATAATGTGAAATCAAAGCATGCTGCTGGAAAGTCAGAGTTAGAATTTACTTGTAAACCTTAAGCCTGGGCATTTGGTCAGTAGCCATTTCCTGACTTCGCTTAGACACAAAGGGGCTACTGTCCGCAGGACCCAAGGCAGAGCCGATGCCCGCCACCTACCTATGCCCCCTCTTCTGCGAGGGGGCTGCAGGGCTCCTGCCCACAGGACGACTAGTGGGAAGCTGTCTTCTGAACTGATCAGCCCATGCGCGGCAGAGTCACAAATGCCTCTGTTTCTAGAGACCCGCAGGGCATCTGACCGGAACTGGCCTCTCCCTCTACCACCTGTGTCAGGTTTGGATCTTAGGTCTCCTTGGACCTGAAAGCACTGGGGGAAGAGGACGAAGTCTGTGGAAGTCCTGGGTTTCAGCCCTGTGGGTACGACCCAGTAACCGCCCGTGTGATTATGACCAGGCTACTTCACGTCTCTGAGCTGCAGGTGCCACGTCAACGCGGTTGCTGAGGGGAGGGATGATGACGCTCAAGCCTGATGCTTTTGAACAGTCACATGAGCACAAAGCAGTGCTTTCTATGGACATTTAAAAAATATTACTCACGCATTTTTAGAGAGAGGAGAAAGCAGAGAGGGAGAGAAAGATTGATGTGCAAAAAAACACCGGCTACCTCTCAAACGCCCCCAACCAGGGACCTGGCCCACAAGCCAGGCATATGCCCTGACTGGGAATTGAACCAGAGACCTTTCAGTTCCCAGGCCGGTGCTCAACCCACTGAGCCACAACAGCCAGGGCTCAAAACAACCCTATTATTGGCTCTATTTTGCATATAAGTAAACGGAAGCTCCCAGAGGGCACAAACTGGTGTCAGATGACACATGTGTTGGGGCAGATACGGATGTAAACACTCATTCCACGCCTCCCCCTGCAAGAAGAACCCTTGATGGAAGGTGAGGAAATGACTTTTGCGGTTGGAAAGCTATACCTCTATTGTTCTACTTCCTTTATGAGGAAATCATGAACCTGAAGGGAGAACACAATAAAAAACATTTGGGGTAGAAAAGAAAAAGGGAGAACTCGAAGTAGTGGGAGCATCTCCGAGACCACAGGGTGCAGCCAGGCCGTGGAAGAGCCCTCTCACGGGCAGACGTGATGGGGGACTCCGACCAGCCACACAGCTGCGGGGGACCCCCACTCTGCTAAATGCATAACATGGGGAAAACAATGGGACTTGCTGAAGATGTCATCTGGCCTGTAGTGACCGACTCCTGACACCAGGAAGGACCAACTGCTGGATGCCAGTGAGGACCCGATGAGGGGCCTCAGGGAGAAGGGCTCGGATCACCTGAGAGCTGGTAACAGGAGAGGCAGGAAACACACAGCCCGGATTTTACAGGGACGGGTCTCTAACAATCGGTAAGCAAAAGGGGTGAGGTCCCAGGGCCGGAAGCGGGCAAGGGAATGCTGTGACCCATGGGAGAACCAGCCAGAATGGGCTCAGTCAGAGAGAAAGGGCTGGGAAACAAAGACACCGTGGTTCACGGGGAGACCAGGGGAGCTCAGGTTCAGAGTGGCCGCCAGCAGAAGAGAGGAGGAGCGGGATGTAATCGGCACAGAGCAGGCAGGGCAGGACCTTGGGAGGAAGTGAGGCGCCCTGGGTGGAATAAAGGGCCTTTTCTGCTGGGCTGGAATGAGCAGAACCAGGGAGAGGTGGGGGGAGTGCGGCCGGGGGCAGATCCTCTGTCACTAAGCATGCCTGCCTGAGGTTTCTTTTCCTCTGTGGGGAAGAATGACCTTACAGCCGGGAAGGGGAAGCTGACCTGAAAGGGGGAAGAGAAGGCCACCACAGGCCCGGAGATGGCAGCCAGCACCCTGCGCGGGCTGAGGTGTTGTCTCTGAGGAACTGCATCATGAAATGGAAAACCTCGTGACAGAGGAGAGCGGAACCTTTGTGGAGGGTTCCCGAGGACACCTGGAGCATCGAGGCATCCAGAAGTCACGTAGTAGGTAGGCAAGCGCAGCAGTTTTCCAGTGGGGAGACCGGAAGAACTGGGAAAGGACACGGCAGTAAACTTGATGTCCGTCATCCATGAAATACCAGAGTGGCCCCGGATCAGGGCCTGCGAAGTACAGGATGCCTGGTGGTGCGCTGGGGGGGACCGGGGCCGCGTACGGCAGCACAGAACCGAATGGTGGGACGTGGACAGTCTCAGCTCGGGCCCAGGATGGCTTTAGTGTTACCGCCATAAAACTTGAACTCTCTTTTTAAGAGGAAGGGAGGGAGAGATGCGGTGCGTGAGGGAGCCAACAAGCCACATCAGCTTCGGAGCCTGGGAGGCCAGAGGATCCATTTAGAACTTGACAGCACTATGACGTGGTCTTTGTATTTGTACACATACCTTCTATTTATGGCAAGTGATACTGATGCATCTTTTCAGGGAAGGGGAATATAGTCAATACTATTGCGGTAAGTTTACACGGTGACAGATGATTACTAGAATTAGTGGGGTTATCATGTTGTAAAGGTTGAAAAATGTCAAATTACTATATTGTATACCTGAAACTAATAATAGCCAATATAAGATCATATACCAACTATACTTAAATAAAAAAGTTAAAAAATGATGTATCATCCAAAGGAAAGTTATTAAAGCAAAAAAAAAAAGTGAGTCAATTTAAAGAAAAATACCACAGTAACATACATACAGTCTAGTCCCGGCAATAACTGTTAAGGTGGCACTTGACCCACTAGTGGTGGAAACGGTCTGTGATATTCACGGCATGCTGAGCGCTCTCCCTGAAGGCTGCCTGCACCAACTCCTTCAGTGTCCCCACCATTCCAGCCCTGTGTGGCATCGTCATTCCATTTCACAGGGAGGTGTGCAGCCGTCCTAACTCTCACGGGGAGGAGGCCGTGGAGCTGGGGTTTGAATTCGGGATGCACGGCCCTGAGTCTGCCTTCTCACCCACCACACCACAGAACGGGACAGCCACAAGTGCTCCAGAGAGACAAAAAAATGTCCCTGGAACTCCATGTCCTATTCAAAACAAGATTAGAAACATCACATAAAACAAAACATGAGCGAAAATTAAAAGCAGACAAGAACGAAACTTCTAGACCAGGAGCTCAGGTGATGCCACAGACCCGCCGCCTTGCGGTCTCCGACGGCCCCCTAACTGGAGGAATGGCTCCCTGAACAGTGCCGTCGATACCTCTGACTCCCTGGACCTTCACAGTTTTTAACAGCAATGTATGGGAAGAGAAGAGGCTCTGATCAAAACCGTCACAAGAAGCTAACAGTGATCGCCCACACGGAGAATGACAGGAGAGCTGCAAAGGGCACTCTGAACACCGGGTCGGATGGCTGGTCCTACCGGTGATGATGATAATGACAATGCAGATGACACACGCCACCAGTACTTTTGCAGGGCATCTGCCACCTGCAGTTCTTTCCTTGTACATTGTCTCAGTCTTCACAGCCCTCCCAAGGTGGCACTCTCGTCATCTCCATCGTCCACACAGGGGGCAGGTGGTTGGAGAGGTTAAGACGCCTGCTCAAGAGGAACCATGCTCTGGACACAGGTCACTGGTCCTGAGCCCCACCAGAGGGCGGTGAGGGGTTTCAAGGATCGAGGGCATGTGCACCAAACGGGGAAACTGGCTTCACGGCAACTGAGACAAAGCCCAGAAAACATCCACTAGGCTAATGGAAGCTGCACCTGAATCCTCTCACAAGGCTAAGCTTACTTTCAGACACCTGAAAGAACGCTGCACAGAAGGAGGGAGGCCTCGTTCTATTTCTCCCAGGTGAGAAAAGCTGGTGGGGTGAGCGTTCAAAGTAATGGGGATTTCATTCATTGTGAGGAGCAATTTTAAAATATCAGGGCTGAACACCCACTGGAGTGCTTAGCAAAGGGGGGGAGCACTCTTCCTGGACCACCACATGCAAAGGCCCTTTGGAATCTGTGGGGCTCCACCCACTAGTTAAAGGAGTTCTTATCCTGCCCTTTCAGGTGAGAGGGAAGACTGGTCCCCTCGAACACACTCTCCGTCCTGGTCCTGTGCACTGACTTTCAGCGGGGATCGATCTGGCATTCTGAGCTGGAAACCGACCGAGAGAAGGCCTGGGAGGAGATGGCACAAGGATCATCAAAGCAGGTGGCTCGACGTTAATTTACATTGGATTTTGGAATGTGTTTCTGAGTACGTGTTTCATAATGACGCTACCCGGATGCAGGCACAAGGTGGAGCATTCATGACACAGGGATTGCTGCGTGCTGATTTCTGGTATAATCAGTGATCTGCTCCCGTGGAAAAGGCACGCCCTGCCGAGTACAGCATGGTGTCCGTCACTCTCCTGACTAACCAAGCCCCTCTGACCCATTTTTGCAGTGGGTTTTGCTGCAACACAAGCAGAGGTTGATAGAGGCTGTCATTTCTCCTACATTTTACCACCACTGTGAACCTGGAACCCACACTGCTCTTTGCAGGACCAGCACTTGCCCCAGTGGGTGAGGCCACAAGGCGTGCGGGGGTTCTGGGCAGGTGAGGCAAGGGAAACTGCTAACAATGGTGTGGAACCGAGAGTGGGAGGGGCTGTCCAGTCATTCTTTTGCTTGGGGAAGGCCAGGGTGTGGGCAGCAGGAGTGCTGAGCTTTTTCCATCATCAGGTAAGTCCATCAGGAGCGCCTTACAGAAACTGGTGGGCCCTGGAGGGGCCAGGCTGGGTGACGTTCAAGACCCTCTGTCAGCTCCAAGAGTCACGTCCCACAGAACACGGTGTGACACGCACACATTTGAATTGGAAATCAAGCCACTTACCCGCCCTCGCTCTGTGAGAGTCGTCAACATGACGATGAGTGATAACTTCTGATCCCAGACGACTTGCCAAAACTGTGCGCAGGTGTGTGGCAGGGGTCCCTGAGCGGCAATGTACTTGTTCACAAGGTTAGCGGCAGGGACTTCCATCTGGCAAGAGATCGTTAAGGCATCAGGACCTGCCAGACTCAGGGAGGACAGGGAGCTGGATCTTAAACTCTTCCAGTTGGTAACTGCCATCGCTCCAGAATAATGCCTCTATCCGTTTACGGCCAGTAAGAAAAGCTTTGAACAAGCTGTTTTTAAAAACCCTTGAAAGATATTTGACAAGAGTGCTAGCATGGCATATTTAAGATAAAACCGTGATACCCAGTAGGTAATAACTAGAAATTGTACCTAGAAGGTACTGGAAGAGTTTAAATAACCTTCCCTGGCCTACCTAAAACAGAAGCGATACTGGGCATCTGCATTTTCAGACAGAGAGCTGCCAGACGGGAGTGGGGGCGGGGACTGGGTGAGAAGGTGAAGGGACTGAGAAATGCAGGCTGATGTCACAGAACGGTCACGAGGACGTAAAGCACAGCACAGGGGTACAGTCGATAATACCGCGGTAACTATGCTCGGTGCCCAGTGGGGACTGGCAATTCCCAGGGGAACTTTGTAAAGTCTACGCTGTCTAACTGCTATGCTGCACACCTCAAACTAATACTGAATGTAAAAATCAATGGAACTAAAGCCCTAGAAGAATCCTAAACTATACAGGCTCATACCACCAAGCACTGTTGCACTTGGTTCTCTGCGTGGCCACCAATGCTTGTCACCAAGGTGATCAGTCCTACCCGCCCCGCTCCCCACTGCCCTGGATTTACAAATAAAGTGTATGTATGTCAGATATACAACATGATGGTTTGATATACATTTGCATTGTGAAATCATGACCACAGTCCAGTCAGCCAACACATCCATCACCTCATAGCTACCACCTGAGTGGATGAACGTTAGATGTGAACGTGTTTCAGCCATCCCTGGTGTCTTTCTCCCATCCTGCTCCGCTTTCTCGTTCCACGAGGGAGCACTCGGAACCTGCCCAGTGGAAGTCACGCGTTCTCAGGCACACCTAACTCCCGGTTTGGCGTGCTTGCTCAGCCACGGTGTCGGGGCTCACCACCCCCTCCCCCGTCACTCGAAGAGATCGCCCCAAGTGGTCTCACTGCCCCCACCACTTCTTTCTTTTGAATTTTTTCATTGAATTTATTGGGGTGACACAGGTTCATAAAGTTATACAGGTTTCAGGGGCACAGTTCTGTAACACATCATCTGTATGCTGTGGGTTTACTGCCTGGAGTCAAGTGTCCCCACCACTTCAGATGCTCTGCCTTTGGGACCCCAGGACTGGCAGTGAGGCTCGGTGAGTCAGCGAACCCCACAGATGTTGTGCAATAAGTGGTATCACTGACCAGACGCATTTTATTAGGGAAGCGCTTGCTATTTTTCTGCAAGTTGAGAACTTGAGAAATCATCTGTGAACAACACATTTAGCTCACAAGTTGGTGAACTATGACCTAAGAGCCAAATCTGACCACTGCGTTGTGAGCTAAGAGTGGTATTTTACATTTTTACCTAGTTTCAGTTTAAATGGTTGTGTAAATACCTGAGTAACGTCCTCACTTTTGCATCTTGACTTGCAAAGACCACCATATTTACTGTCTAGCTCCTGACAGAAAATGTGCCAGTCTCCAGTTTAGAGGAAAAAAACTGAGGTTCAGAGAGGTCCACTAAGTTGTCCCGGATTGTATTTTCACAGTGAAACGAATGCTCTTCCCACAACATGGGAAATGTTTCACCTTTTCTTTTTGGGTTCTATGCACAGAGGTGGTTTTATTTTTCTTATTTTAGATGTGGTATACGGTAACAATGCAGGGGAAACACAGAGAGTTACAAACATAGCGAAAAAACAAACCCAAAACAAACAACTGAATCCAAGCCCAAACACCTGAATGCCGGCAGGTGAGGACAGGAGGCACGTGGACGATGGAGTCAAAGACGTGGAATCTGAGTTTGGTCTCGCCGTCTGTTAGCTCTGTGACTTTTCAAATTATTTACTCTCCCTGAACCTCAGTTTTGTCCTCTGTAAAATGAGACTACTCTGCCTTTCCTCACCGGCTGCTGGGCTGAAACGGGGGGGCAAACAGGAAAGCACCTCGTCAGCCGCAAAGCACCGCACATGCCACGGTCATGACTGTTGTGAGGGCTGATGGGCTCTCAGCCACTACCCAGAGCCCCAACTTACGTTCACGTAACTCGCATTAATGTAATCTTCACTTCCCTGCAGTAATACCCGGGTGGTGTCATCTGTGGGGGAGAAGGAGAACCTTCTGATCATTCCGAGCGTTATTTCTATCGTACCCAGTAAACAAGCGTTCAGTCCCCAGCCCCATCTGCAGCGCCCGCCTCATTAGCACAAACACTGTTCCCCAACTGTTCCGAGTCTGCCAGGGCTGCAATAAAGATGGCGGTGTTTACAGACACACTGAAGATCGTCCCAGAATACCAGACAATCTGTTTGAAAAAGGGAAACATTATCTCGGTGCGTGTGGTGGGGGAGAGGCATTCATGCCGGATACTCACAAGGCAACACATCTTTGTATCGATTTTTGTCCAAATTTTGAGGCAGCTTTGCAACCGTGATGGCCAAACCGGGCTTCTTTCTGTAGAGTTGCTGTGTGACAGAGAAAAAAAAGGCCATTGCAGAAAAATCAGCTATGAAGGGAGTGTGAAAACATACTTTAACAGGAAGAGTTTACCATGCACGGCACCAAAATATTAATGTTTCAAAGGGATCATGTGTTATATATTGAGAGAAAAACCTTCCCAATAAGAAATTCTACAATCCCTTCACAAGCTAAGCTCTTCAGTATTTCTTTTTGCAAGAGGATCTTTGAGGGGGAATAAACTCTTTACTGTCTGAATCACAGATAATGGATCACAGTAAGTAAAACCTCATCTTTATGACAATTATTTGACACATGCTAAAAGCAAGTAAAGAAAAAATTATGAGTCAAAAGTAAATGGAAATAATTTACATCAGCCTAAAAACATTTCCCTCCAATTCAGTGGAGTGAACCATATATAAAATACATGAACCATATAAAATATATACATAACATATATTTTTATATTTAAAAGTATATATATTGCTTAAACACAAGAGCATTTCATTCATCATTTCACAAGTATATTTCCATAGTAAAAGCATTTATTCCCATACAGTAAACTTCACAGAAAGAGGTTTTCTCCGTGCATGCAATCGCTAGCAAAAAACACCACTGAAACAGTCTCTGCGTGCCTGCGAGTACATATTAGCACGCTTGCACAGCACCTGATGTGATTTTGACAATAGCTCTGTGAGATATTAATAGCATCTTTATTTTGCAAGTGAAGAGGAAGAGATTAAATGCTTAGATCACAAACTGCAGGCTGAACTCAATGCTCGAGTTTTCTTTTTTTCCCTCGGAACCACCTGATAAAGGCATGATGGACATAAGTGGTCCACACTTACTGTATACAACTCAGGGAGCTTGGGGATGTGTAAGCACGCACTGCCCCAGTGAAACCACTGCCCTCAAGGCCAAGGACAGGTCCCTTCCCTCCCCAAGTTTCCTCTCGCCCCCTTCAGCTTTCTTTCCTACACAACGGTTTTTCTCACTTTAAACTCGAAAGGGAAACACTATTTTCCAGGGCTTTTGTTAACTTTGTGGGAATTTAAAAAACAACACAATCTGTTCAATGTTGGAAGTGACGTTTTTTCTTTTGAAGAAAATTTGGGAAATGCAGACTGATGTATAAAGGAAAGTACCAGTAACTTCACAACCCTGAGATGGCCCCCTGTTCTCCAGCCTGTATTTTTCTGTGCATGTGTAAACGGGTGTACATAAAAAACAAAACGACTGTGTATTATCATGTTCATACTATGCTCTATGGAACCCACGTGTTTTGAAAGAAGCTAATAGATACTACTTTAAAAAAAAAAGTTCCAAGGTGGGAGACGTTTGGGAAATAACTAAACCCACCTTATCTTGTATGTTCCTCCAAGAAGAAAAGTCCTACAGTGCATGAGCTTATTTAATTATGACTAGCTAAGCGTTTCTCAAGCTAATGTGGCCACAGAGAATCTCACACCTCACAGGAAGTGTTCTGGGAAATACCAGCATAATTTGAAGCCTGTTATTACACAGTGACTAGTTCCCTGTTTCATTAAATATCCTAAGTATTCTCTATACACAATTTTTACTGTCTCAATAATCTACAGTTCCTCATAATTTATTTGAATTTTCACTCTATTTTTTTGATTAGGCTGTTTTTAATATTTTTTACTCTTATAAATTCCCCAAGGGAGAATCATTACACCAAAGCATATTTTGAAGGCTTTGATACATACAACCAGGTTGCCCTAGGGGAATATGAGAATGATTAGTTTAGCAGATTGGGTCAATATCGTCAACTAAAACGTGTTTGCAATTTGAACAGGAAGGTTGAATGTTATCTTGCCCCTTATGTTTCTGCAAATTTTATTTTTTTAAACCAGCCTCTGGTAGTTTTTCTCTTATTAGTTCTTTTTTATTATTATTAAACAAACAAGTTGCACAGAAATCACCAGGAGAGTACTAGCACAGAGATTTTGGGTAATGATAATTGTGTCATATCTTATACATTTGCCAAATGTTTATAGAGTTCCCATCTCTCCCTGAGCTCAGTTACTGATCTTTATAATTTCAGTTCATAACAATCAAGTAGCCACTGGACAACTTCTTCAAATATCTGTGAACTCAGGGAGAATGGACTCTCTGAGCTCCTTCTAGAAATAAAATCATTATTTATTGGAGGTTTTGGTTTGATTCTGAAAGGAGAAAATTATGGGAATCAAATTCCCCTAAATAACAATGGTTCTGATTAACTGCACGGAAGTGAAATCTAATTAAGCAAATATAATCCGTAAAGTGAAACTGGAGGTAAAAAGAATTTTTTTCAAATAATAGAAATGTAAATGTAATCAACGTGAGATGGTCTGGCAGAAAAGCACGGATCTATGAAAAGGCTTTAATTATAGTAAATATGTAAGCATCTGAGAAGTGTAATGATCTCTTGATAAGATTGTAGAACACTAAAGATAAAAAATACATTACTACAGCAGTGTTGAAAATATTTTACACGTGCACATCCAGGGCTCCACCTGACAGAAAGGTACGAAGATAAATATCGAAGAAATTTGTCTGTAGCAAACTAATTTTTTATTACCAGAAAATATCTGGATATTTCCTAACAGGGAGGAAGGAGTGTTGACTTAAACTATGGTACAGTTGTACCATAAAATTATACACAATTAGAAAAATTGACTATAAGCACACATTTGGTAGGATCTCCATTTATCAATTTTTAAGTAAGAAATGCAAGTTATAGAATAATATGTACAGTAGTAACCCCATAGTGGTATCCACGTATAAAATATATTTGCAAGAGTATTGGAACGAGTATGGAACAATACCCACCAAGTTATTTGTAAATTATAACAATGAAACTAAGGGAGATGAGGGCTAGGAGACTATTAATTTTACTTTGGCTATTTCTGAATTCCTTGAATTATTACAAGGAGAATTACTTTTTATATTCAGATGATTAAAGTGAGAGAAAGAGGTATAGAAAACTCTCTATATAAAACTGAAAAATAGCCCTGGCTGGTACAGCTCACTGGATTAAGCGCTGGCCTGTGAACTGAAAGGTTGCCGGTTTGATTCCCTGTCAGGACACATGCCTGGGGTGCTGGCCAGGTCCTTAGTTGGGGCCTGAGAGAGGCAACCCATCGATGTTGCCCTCCCTCGCTTTCTTCCTCCCTTCCCTTCTCTCTAAAAATAAATAGAATCTTTTTTTAAAATTTGAAAAATAAAATTTTTACAGATTTTATTCCTTTATTTTTAGAGAGGGAGTGAAACATCAATGTGTGGTTGCCTCTAGCACACCCCCTACTGGGGAAATAGTCTGCAACCCAGGCTTGTGCCCTGACTGGGAATCAAACCGGCGATGCTTTGGTTTACAAGCCTGTGCTCAATCTACTGAGCTACCCCAGCCAGGGCGAAATAAAAAATTTTTTACAAAAAGCTGGGTGAATAAAGCTAAGATTGTGGGGGGCCTTCGGAAGGTTTGCCATACACTTGTATTTATGTCTGCCTTGCCGAGGCTAACACCGAGTAGCCTGCCCACTGACGTGCTTCGCCCTTTCCGCACACTTGTTTCCTGAAGGGGTTAAGGGCCGGTTTCCAAATTCCTTTACTTTGCTGCCCCTTCTCCAGACCCTGTGAGCTGCCCTGCAGGCTGGGTGCGAAAAAAAAAGGCCCTGAAGAGGGGGTGCTGAGTGCAAAGTGACATGTTGAAAACACAGGTGTCCCTTTTTGGAAAGGCCAGGAATGGAGGGAAAGGAGTCCAAGACTATTACATTAGTCAGAACTCAAGACAAGGCACTTCGAGTGCCTCTTGGAAAAACACAATTTTCATCGCTTAGTCCTGGGCCGACAGTGAGGCGGGCAGAGCGGGCCCCTTACATTCTGCCCTGGAATGAGAGCCATCAGGGGGCCGGAGACAGCATCACAGCAACGGGGGTTGTGAGACCACTTAGTTCCATTCAAAACCATGAATTTTCACGTCCTAAAAGGTTCTGTTTTCATCTTATCAGAGTGTAGTTCGAAGAAGCGGTGACACTAAGGTACATTATAAAAAGCTTTGCTGACATGTCTGTGTCACCAGCTCTGGCCTCCAAAGACAGGAAACTGAACGTCAGCAGCTGGAGCTGCGCCACGTGGTATAAGCAGGACTGGTGAGATGACACAGGGTTTTTTGTTTTTTTAGTGCCATGTAATATGGGGGAGAGGGCATCGGGAGATGACTCTGCTCTCCTCAGACTTCTGGCCCAACCAGAGATGAGAAGCCTAGTCACGTCCCTCGGACGAGGGCTGTGGACACCCAGCTGGTCTCCGAGCAGGGCCCGCAGAACAGACACAAGCACTCCACCAATTGTACGATCCCATGAGGCGACTTCCCACTGGAATTCTTGGATGCTGAGAACCCGAGGGGGAAGACAAGGGCAAAGAAAGAAAAAAAAGCAGGGGGGGGCACTTGAAGGGACAATAGGAAAGGTGAGCAAAGAGTAGAAACAGATCCCCTTTCATGGCCTTGACAATGACCCCGAGCCTACTATAGACAACGACTTTGAAAACGCCCATCGACAGTCTGCTTCCTGGATCAAGTGCTGTGGCCTCCATGGGGGCGGGGCCTTGCTTGTTTGGATCACCCCCATAAACCGGAGGCCGGCACTGGGCCTGGCCCGTAGTAGGTGCTTAATGAAAATTTGTACCATTAAGGAATAATGATACTTGCTGCTTTAAACAAAGGATAGAAGCCACTTGAGTGAGGCATGACAAGAGGTGGCACAGAATCATATAAGCAAAGGGCGACCGATTTTTCACGAAGGCCCCAAGGACCACTCTGCAGTCACTGTCATTCACTACCCCCCGGGGCAGCTTGCCCACACTGGGGACTCCACCTCGCCCAGTGGGTTCACGGACTAGCTCGAGGGGCCTTGGGGCCCCTCCCTACCTCCCCATAAAGGTCTGCTGAACTGACCTGACATCATTGCTAGTAATCTGGGGACTGTCAACAGTATGGCTTTAAGTGCAGGGTCCCAGAGGTGGCTGCCACCCCTGCCCACTGAGGTGGTCTCGTGGGGTCCCCCTCACAGATGAACAGCGGCGGGCTGGGGCGGCACCTGCAACGTAAGCCCTCACAGTGTGCTCCCCATATTCCACACACACCACAGAACATTCTCGTTTCTCATAAAAACAACAACAAAAAACCGGTTTGGAATATTTTTTGGATGTCTATTTTTTTAAGGTGTGAGTTCTACCTCTGAAGGTACAATGGCCTTACCTAATTCCTACCTGTGTCACCTTAAACCTCTCATTAAGTCTTCCGTTCCCTTTGTCCTTCCAAACCAACTTCTACCACGACCACTGGAGCCAGGGAGTCACCTGTGTTGACACAAATGCATGTTTCCTACAGTGGGTGATGCAGGAGTGAGTCACGGAAAAAGGTCAGAAGACGACCTCTGGACTTGGGTGTGGACAGAAGATGCCGCATGGGGTGGTGGGGCTCCCTGAGTGTGATGTGGCCCTTGGTGGACCAAGTCCTGTGGCCACTGCTCTACCTCACCAGCTGGGAAGGGAGGAGACCTGTCCCTCATTTTCTGCCAACCACATCCTGCAGGTCTCCAAAGAGGTCTTATTAGACAAGGAAGCTGCGAGTCACCTGGTCCTCGGGTGAGGACGGGCACAGGGGCCTTTGCGGGGAGGCTGGGGCTCAGAGGACCAGTCAGCACCGTCACTTGGCATTTACCCAGGACGCCTACGCTGAGTGCAGAGCCGTCTTCTGCCTTAGACAGAATGTGCAACTCAGGGAGAGCATGGATGGAGCCCCAAGTCATTCTCATGAGGGAATGAAGCTGGGGCTGAATGGGTGAGTCCCTTGAAGGAAGGGAGTGTCCTGGAGGTGACAATGAACTTGAAACTGTGTGAACCCCAGATCTTTTTCCTCCACGTGAGACCAGCGGAACTCCCTGCCGTGGCTGAGCAGAGAGTACCTGGGCAGCCTGAGGCCGGTCACTAACGCTGCCGCACCGCTCACACCGAGCAGGGTAGCAGAGCGGCTGCCGGAGCGGAGGCCTCACGCTGCAGGTCAGGCGAAGAGCTGCCCACACTTGGCCGTGGCGAGTTCTGACAATGCGTTAGACTTTTTAGTCCATATTCTAGCCCTAGATCTCCCTCACCAGTGTGACACTGGACAAGCCCCCTCACCTAGGAGCCTCATTTCCCCATCTCTGAAGGCGTGGCCCCGATCATTCTGGCCGTATCTCTTTCACAGAACTGCTGTGAGAGTCAGCAGAGACACTCTCTGCTGTGAAACACACTCAGCAGATTCCAGGTGCCATAGAAATGCTAACTATTACGTGGGATTTTGTTACAGCTGGGACCACAGGCTTTCTAGAACACATTCGTAATTGTTTATCAAAAGCCACCGGAGGAGCAGGGAAATCCCCTTAACGAGAATGAGCCTCAAAGCGAGCTGTGCTGAAAACCAGCTCGTCACCACGGTCCATCACGGCCCAGCTTCCCCCGGTCAGGCCCTCTGTGCGGCGTAGGGGGTAGAGCGCGGGGTGGGGGCGTCTGCTTGGAACCAGCCACCGCTTCCTGCCCCTGCGATGTTGCCCCACCAGCCAAGCCACCCCCCCCCCACCTGCCGACAGCACTGAAGAGCCTGTGGGGCGCCAGGACTTCAGACGGCCCGGGTGCCAACCCCGACGTGACATGACCACTTTCTGTGTGGAGATGGGGCATGCTGTTTAGACTCCTGGAGCCTCTGTTTACAGATGATGATAGTTGTTACTCTTTACTGCGCCCTCACCAAGTGCCAGACAATTTGTTAAGTATTTATCTCATCTCACCCTTACCGCCAACCCGTGAGACACCCAACTGACCATCGAGGAAGAAGAGGCCACAGAGGTTACGGGACACGCCTGAAGCCACACGGGAAGTGAGCGGTAGAGCCAGGACTTGAAGCCTGTTTGGCTCCATGTGGCTAGATGGCGTCTTAGATCTCTTCCTGCTCCGATGCTGTCCTAGCCTAATGACAACTCTCTCGTGTAAGCACGCTGTGTCGTCTGCAAAGACTGGGGGGTTGTTCGGGGAGCAGGCTCTGGAGGCGGCCTGCCTGGGTGCCGGGGAGGCAGTGCCATTTACTGTGCACTCACGCCCTGGACTCTGACCCTTCACCCGTGCGATGCGCTGCCGTGAGCACTCTGCGCGGTGATGCACACAGAGCCCTCGGCGCACAGTCAGTGCTCATTAAAGGCTTCCCTTCGTCTTCGTTTCTGGTTTGATCTGGCCTCCTTTGGAATTCTCCTCCAGCAGCTGTGCAGGACACATTTCCCCGGTCTGTAAGCGGCTGTTAAACTATGTTCCGCGGTCTAGGGCTCCGCGGGACAGTGCGGGGAGACTGAGGCAGGGGCCCATGTATCCCGCCTGCCCCACCACGGAGCAGCGGTGTTGTCCGTTCTGCATCCTGTAACTGTGCAACTGTCATTTACAAAGAGGGTTTCCCTATTTAATTTCTAGGAAACACACTGACTAAATGAAAAAAAAATGTAAATGTGCACCCAACTAAAATTCAACCCTCAAATTTCTATGTTGTTCATTCCATATGCTACAGTCTAACCATAAGCTTGAAATAAAGGCGAGACTTGGGATAGGCAGCAGCAGGACACTGTTCCGGGTCCCATCTCTGCCCCCTCCCCCTCCCCCTCTGGACCAGCTCCGATGTCAAAACCTCCCGGGGATCTGGCTAAGAGTGTCCACACCGAGGCCCCTCCCAGCGTGGCTGATTCTGGAGCTGTGGTCTGGGCCCAGTGTGACAAGCTCTTCGGGTACTATCCATTTGGTTGAGTGTTACCGTTTGAGAAATACTACTCAAAAACACGGGGGGCAGGTGGGCACTTCTCTTTAAAGCATTTTTAAACTTCTTAATACAGCCCAGTGAATGTCATTCAAGGAAAACCTCACATGGGACCCCATATGTAAATCCTGAGTGCAGGGGATTTTCTGGGGCACCGGTGAAGACCAAGTTTGGTCTCGTTCCTTATTGAGAACACACAGCGCCTCCTTGTGGACAGTGTGATCAAAGACAACCGGTTCCCTCTGGGCGGAAGGACTTCCGTCAGCTGGAGAAAGCAGCTCCCCAGGGCGACCCCCTGCTGTACTTCTCGCAGCAGCCAGTCCTGTTTCCCTTTGCTACCCGACTCTTAGGAGCTCAGCTTCCCACCTCCAGCTTCTACACAACGTACATTCTATGTAATGGAGTCTTGCCCTATCTTGGTCTTGAGCTGTTTCTGGGATTCCTGATACATCCCCTCAAATATACTGAAAATAGACTGCCAATTTCTTGGAGCCAGAAATCCAGCTTCTCCCTCCTTCGCTGTGTTCCTGATCCAGGATTTGGCGTGCGGTGAACACCTGATACACACCCGCTGAATAAATGACTGGCTGGCCACTGGCTCTCCCCTTCCCTGTCCCTTCTGAAAGCACCGAACAAAGAATAGAATAAAACGAATTACTCTGTAGCTGGCTTTTAAGGTCTCCTTGTTTCAACTGTTTTGGACAGTGTTTACAAGTATGCAGTTTTAGTGTTTAAACGTGTGTTTCGATTTTGAACTTTCTGCAAGGCCAGAAAACATAACCGCTGCATTTTCTTCTTTTAACACCCTAAGCCTACAGAGCCTCCTGCCTGCAGGCCACCAGAAAGAAGGGCTTTCTTTGCCTTTATGTAAATAGTCAGGCTATGTCTATCCAATTCTACCCAAGTAATTATATTATTACTAACCTTTACTCCTTATTTTATTTCCACAAGATATGGACTTATGTTTTTTTTGTCTGTATTATTTGCCACAACTGTGCAGTTTAAAATTCCTTATTGATTTTTCTGGGGAGCGAAATCAATTATCTTCACCTCTCACTTGTGAGTTTTCACTTTCTACTGTTGTTCAACACACGCTGCTCTAATAACGTACTGTATTTACACCCTATTCCTTACACCATCACAAAACGAACTTCCCCTCACGGAACACGCCACGCTTTGCATTCCTTCCTGTTCCGCATCCATACGACCCGCTCTTTGTCAACGTGCGGCCACGTGCATTTGAAAAACTGCCTAGTGTTCCTTCTGTGACTGTTGCCTCTACACAAACAAACAGCGATGGCTGACTTCTGCGTCTGAACTGGATCTGAGACCATCTTTCATAATTTATGAACCCAAACTGTGCATGCTGGCATTAATCGTGATCTATTTTTTTAATCTACCTGTTTCATGCTTCTTTGTGCTCTTTTATCTTTTATTGCATGAACTAGTCTGCTTTCTCCTGCCCTGAAAGAAATTTGGACGGTACACACATTCTATTTTCATCTTGTGAGGGACCACAGCAGTAAAACTGACTTAAGATCTGAGCCTTCTTTGGCCTTGCTTTGCCTTCTGAACTCTGGGTGTGCTTTTTGCTAACAGTCGCTGCCCTGTGATTAGGCATCCGACTCTGATAATTACTCATGTTCACGAGGTTCTGGGGGACTTGGAAAGGAGAGCCACTATGCCCCATGGGATGACACTGCTGCAAATGACACACGCTGCCCCGTGGGGTCAGGGACAGGGCTCCTTCATCATCCCGTGGGCGCTCGCCCACGCTGCCTCTCTACTACCTTCTACTGCTGAGCGTCTGGAGCTTCTGCGTTGGCAGCTAAACAGCTCCAGAGGCCCTCCTCCTTGATTTCTGATGCATTTCTCCATGACTACCGAATGTTACTGGAGTAAGGTGAGGCAGAGTGCAGGGACGGGCTGTGGTCCTCGTGTCCTGCTTGTTGGGCCTGCTCCACTGCGCCGATGCTGGGAGCCCCTGTGCCCCACAATGAACACGGGCCCCCTGGTATCAGGGCTGATTCGGCAGCACCTGAGCAGCCCACCGAGGCCCCGGGAACCGGGCAGCGGGGTGAGCCCCCGGACTCCCTTACCTCGAACTGGATCAGCACGGTCCCACTTTCAAGGCCCTTCTTTAGCTGCTCCATGGATTCCTCCAACGTGTCCACACCCTCTGGACACACGGGGAAAATGGCATCTGGGAAGAGCTGGTTCAGTTCATCTTCAGATTTGATTTCAGCAAAGGAGTGGACGGCTGCAGTGGGCAAGAAAGGGTGCGTCTGGCTGTGCAGCAAAGCTCTGGTGACCAGTTTCCTCCCCCAAATTACCGTGTGACACCTGAATGTGGTGGTTTAGAACACCTTATTAAGGGGTCAAGCACACAGTAATCATGCTCACCAAAGACACTGCTTCTCGCGGAATGATACAATATGTGTTGATTACACAAAATGACGTACAATTCTGGCTAGTTAAGGATGGTGTTTAGTACTCACAGGCTTTTGCCAAAGGGAAAGGATGTTTCAAAAGGAAACATCTTCGCTCTTTGCTCACTCTGACCTGGTTCTATCCCATCCCCGCACCCCCTTCTTGGTTCCTTTTCATTTGCTCCCTTAAAACAGGCCCTTTCCCGGTCACTGCAGCGAGGTCCGGCATGCTGCCCGGGACGCCTTTGCCCCCAGAACTCAGCCCAGCTCTCGGCCGGGGCCACTTTTCAGGTGGAAACCCCCAGGTAAACGTGTGCAGTCCTAAGGCTCCTTCTGTGCGCCAGCCCCGCCTCTTCAGCAGCACCCCTCGCTGCACGTCAGACTCCACACGCTAAAACAACCCAGGGCCCCCCGCCCCCACCCGCACAACACTTCCCCAACCTCACAGGCCTCTTTCTGTCTATGGTTACACTTCCTTCTCCGATCTCCCAAACCGGAAACATGAGGGTTGCCCAGAAGGTTACACGCCCTCACTCAAAAGCCTTCACGGGGCTCCTTACTGCCTTCCAAAGAACAGGAAAGGACAGGAAGGGAATGATATGTGCATTTCTCCACGCGGTGGGCCTGAATCCCCACCATGCTGAACTACAGCTGTGATTCCCATTGTACAGATATGGAAACGGACCCTCAGGGTGAATCAGCTGCCCAGAGCTGTCAGGGTGGGGCAAGGGAATTCGGTCCACGCTGGCCTGACCCTAAAGGTCCCACTCTTTCCTTTGCAGAGAAGTCCAACTCTGGTGCCACTTCCACGATTTCTGCCATATTAGCTACTCCCTGTGCTGTTGACTTATTTTTCTTTCAATGAGCTCATATTTTTCGTTAAATATTTAAAAAATAAACTTAGTATCATCATAGTCACTGAAGACCAGTGGCCCACCCTTGTGGCTTTAAGGGTCTACAAACACCTGTTTCCTCACCTCGGACAGGCTGCGCGCCCCCCACCCCGAGGGCCCCCGTGAGGCCCGCACAGCACTGGTGCGGGGCGCAGCCTGGGGCCCGGCTCCCGGGCGCTGAGCTCCTTCACCCCCTCTCATCCTGAGGCCTACCCGGCCACACAGCAGCAGGGCAGCCCACTTAGGCTCCTGTGACTTCCTTTCCCGACCGTCTCACTTGTGGGTAACAATACTGACATTGTAAGAGGGTTATGAGAATTAAAAAGGATAATTATTAAAATAATTAGCAGGGTACAAGGCACTTCACTGGTGCTCCACAGACATCAGCCTCTACCGCAACTGAATACCTACTGTGTGCTGAGCAGGCTGCTGGCATTTGGTGGGGACGGGGAGAGGTGGGGACCTGGAGGGTCGGGGAGCCTCGCAAGGAGCGGGGAAGGGGCTGACACCAGATAGGTCTGGGTGTAAGTTTTAATGGGAACAGAGAGAGGCAGGAGAGTGTGTGTGAGTGTGTGTGTGTGTGTGTGTGTGTGTGTGTGGTGGTGAGGGGGTGGGTGCTGTGCGTTCACCTGTGAAGGTCAGAACAGAGATGTAAGCCCAGGGCTTTGAGTCACACACTGACAGCATTTTCCTTCAGTGTCGTAAAGCTGGGCAGAAGCATTCAGGGACTTGGCTCATTGTTTTATAGCAACAACAAAACAGTGCGGGTGTTCAACAGGAGCCGTCCTCCAGATAGCTACCATGCATCAGGCAGTATTTGGGGTCCGCCTCCAGTGTGAGTACCAGTAAGACCCTGTGCAGGGCAGACTGCTGTTATCCTCACTGTACATCAGAGGAAGTCAAAACACAAACCGGGCAAGAGACTCCCTCAAGGTCCCTTAACGGGTAGGAGGTGGAGTGAGAACCACTGGGAGGCAGCCAGGCCCCTGTCCCCCTCCGCTTACTGCCTGTTCAACAAAGCCAAAAGCACATGAATAAAACATAACCTGATCCTTCTAGAAAGGGTTAGAAATGCAAATGCCTGCCGGGCCAGGGAGCCGAGAGAGGTCAGTACTTGTTGTGGGCCGAGTGGGGTCCGGGAGGAACTGGGGGGGGTCACACCCTGTATATAAGGGCGGTGATCGGTGCTGCCTACCTCCAGAGGACTGGCCGAGAGGGGCCAGGCCCTCTGTGGGCAGAACCTCAAATTTTTCAGGTGAGAGGTCAGACATCAAGGTTGCCATGTGAAAGTTCTTGGTTTTCTCAAACGTTGGCCGCGCCGGGCTGGAGCAGCACCCCTGCGCCTCCTCCCACCCCCGCGGGTGGCTCTTACCTTTCCTCCGGATCACCAGGGCCAGCTCCCTGGTGTGGGACTCCCGGCTGGCTTTGATGAACATCACCACTTGGTCATGGGTGTGTTCTGAGATGTCCCGGCCGTTGATTAGCACGATTTGATCCCCTTCGTTCAGCTTAGGAATGCAGGTGTCCGCCTGAGGGGAGGGAAGAGCAGGTTTCTCTCGTTACCAGGGCCCAGCCCCCTGGGGGAGGCCGCGGGTGCGCTCTGGGCCCGACACCTGAGCCGGGGCTGGGTTCACCTTCACTCCCTCAGGAATTATCATCGTTATTTTTTCCGTCCTCTGCTCTGATGCCATGGCAGCTGGTTGCAGGATTCTAACAAAGTGCTGCTCACACTGTAAGTCATGAAACATTTTGGAACAAGGCTGACAAAATCATGGAAGCCATTTCTCTACGGCAGCCAGCCTTCACTTGTTAATGTCACGTAATGACTAGGAAGCTTCTGATCTCTCGTTCTCTAGATCGGCTGTTAGAAAATGGTGCTCGAGCCCTGGCTGGTGCGGCTCAGTGGACTGAGTGCTGGCCTGCGAAGCAAAGGGTTGTCGGTTCGATTCCCAGTCAGGGCACGTGCCTGGGTTGCAGGCCAGGTCTCCAGTGGGGGGCGTGCGAGAGGCAACCACACAGTGATGTTTCTCTCCCTGTCTTTCTCCCTCCCTTCTGCTCTCTCTAAAAAAATAAAATCTTAAAAAAAAAAAAAGAAAAAGATAATGGCGCTCCCCAGCTGAGAGAGCCTCGGCTAAGAGGCTATTTACCCACCTTGCAATGGAGAAGGATTTTGTAAGCATGGTACCAAAGACAGGAACCACTAGGGAGAGAAGCAGTGCACGGGATGGGGTAAAAGGAAAGCCTCTGTATTTGGAAGGGGCCACAATCGGTACAAAAAAGTCAGGAGCCAGCTTGATGGCCACTTATGAGCAAAGACCCCCACTAGTACCTTCTTAGGAGGCACAGTGACCCTTTGGTGCTCACTGCTTCAAAAAAGCACAGGACCTGCTGAGGTGGTCTAGACAGAGAGCTAAGTGCGGGGTGGCGGGAGGGGACACAGGGTCCCCGTGTCCACTCGGAGTGAGCAGACAGCAAACTGTGCCTCAGTTCCCGTCTCTTGAGCAGCACTTCCAAATTTTGATGGCACACCCATCACCTGGAGAGCTTGTTGAAAATGCAGGTTCTGGTTCAGGCAGTCTGGGGTGGGCCTGAGATTCTGCATTTCTAATGAGCTCCCAGGTGACACTGGAGCGGCAGCCACGGGGACCACGCTGAGCAGAAGGTCCTGGAAAACATGGACTCTGTTCTTTCTAATTCCCACCCACAGGCATTTACACAGGCTCTGTGCTACTGGCTGGCGAGAAACAGGACACGGAAATAGAAACCTGTCAGATTTGGCGGAAAGCAAACCTGGTTACTTACAGGTGACTCTGGGTTTATCCTCGATACCACGAGAGGCATCTTCTGATCTACTCCTCCCTGTAAACATGTGAAATTAAGGGAAAAAAACCCCACGTGAGTAGTTCATAGCAATAAAGACACGCGGCTCTTTCCGGCACAGGGAGGGGTGCGACTTCACTTCATCTTGTTCTAATCCCAGGGACGGCACCTTTCTGAAGAACAAGGCTCCTGAGCCTGCGTCTGGTGGGCTAACCAGAAGACTGCTTCAGTCTCCTACTGCCATCCCTACATTCTGTGAACTTCAGCTGCACTTGGTGGAAGCACGCTCCTTTAAAAAAATGCAAACCACTCCAGCAGGACTCCAAAGGCACAGCCTCTAAGTACTGCTGGACAGAAGAGTCTTGAGACAGAAGCCACAGACAAGGCCACATGCTGTGAGGGCTTTGACCTTGGAGAGCAGGTCATCGGCTGGCTCCTGGGCTACAGGAAGGGAGTGCATGGTAGCAGCTGCAGGATGGGCAGCAAAGACTACCTGCCCCCACTGAGAGCTGGAGTTGGGGCTGGTAAACTTTTCCGGTAAAGGACTAGAGAGTCCGTATGTTAGGCTTTGTGGGACAGAGGGCTCTGTGGCAAATGCTTAACTCTGCCGCCTTAGTACCCAAGGGGTCATAAACCCTTTGTAAATGAATGGGTGTTCCAATAAAACTTTATTTGTAAAATAGGTGGGTTGGCTCCTAGGCCATAGTTTGCAGACCCTGCCTAGGGGCTGACAAAGGAGGGTGATGGCCCTGCAGCTTGTGCTGCTGTTCTCTCTTATTGGCTTAGCAATGCGCAGGGGCTCTGTTCACAACTCCTCTTCGAGGGGTAGATCTGCTTGCCAACTGTGGGCCCTCATCTCTCTCTGCATCTGTCAAATGGGGTTGGAAACGCTGATGTCACCGCTCGGAACTCAGTGAGATGATATAAATAAGTGCCTAGCAAACACCAAGCACACAACAGGCACTTGCGACGAGGCAGCTGGTACAGCCACATCAAAACACTCCTGGCTCCGGGGGTTGGGCCCGGTTCCCATGTCGCCTCAGGGACGTGGCATGCTTCCAGTGGGGACAGAAAAGTCATCCACACACTGCCTCAGAGCACAAAACTTCTTACAAATACATACAACATACCTTTAGATTAAATCCAAATTTTCCATCTTCATCTGGCGTGATACGGATCAAGATCAAGTAGCCATCACCATTATCATTCTGGAAAATGTGGGAGAGTGGTCAGTTATGTAACCTGCCCCTCCGGTGGTTGATAAGAATACAATTTTGGTCAGTCATCACTACTTAAACGAGGTGCCTCTGCGCCAGGGTCACCTGGCTACTTCGGCACCCAGCCGGGACCTGCGCTCACGCACCTTGTCACAGTAGTACTGGCTGGAGTCCTCGATGGAGCCCCCTTTGGTCACCCTGTGGAAGTCCTCTAAGAACTGCTGGTCCACGCCATCCGGCGAGCAGGAGCCTGGAGCATTTGAAGACGGAGACACAGAACTGGATGACGTCCGGGTCAGGCAGCTTTGGGCTGGGTTGTTCTCGGATATACTCCTTCATCGTGGGGGGAGAGGAGATGTTTTAATAAGCGGATTAATATTTTATCGGAGCAAATGCTGCTGACTGTTGAGGCCTCATATCCCATGGTTGTCGCAAACCCTGGGAACCTCAGGAGAGCTCCAAAGGTCACCCTCAGGGCTCTGGCACACCTGAGGCCACAGGCCGCCCTGTCCCCTTCGGGTCTAAATATCACCACCGTTCGTTTGGGGGAAAAGGGGCAGAAGGACGGGCGGACCCAGGAGCTGCGGAGAACTCAGCTCCCTTCCCAGCCACAGGAGAAGGGCGGCAGGGAGACGTGCCGGCCACTCTGGAGGTCTGGCCACTGCGGCTCCCGCAGGGCCACGTCTGCACCCCCTCTGCAAACTCTCCCTTCCGTCCCAATCCTGCTGACAGCTCTGCTTCACAGAACTCTTTGCTGCCCAGAGGACATGGGACTGATGCTGCACATCCAGGGCAATTTCCATTCATCCTACTTTGTGTTATTTGCCCGTGACATCCATGTATTGCTCGTGCTGAGAACGCATGTTTTATTTTTCTCTAATACGGGTCCTTCTGTATCTTAGACCTGCACTGTCCAATGTGGTAGCCACCAGTCAATTTATTTAAATTTAAAGATTGGAAAGTTCTTGAATTGTACCCATCCATGTCAGAAATGAGCAATAGTCACATGTGGCTAGTGGCACCCGTGTGGTACGGTCATAAAATGTTTCCATCATCGCAGTAAGTTTTGTTGGACGGCGCTGTCTCGGAGAACTGCAGGCCATTAGAACTAAACGGGCCTCTACGGTCATCTGGTCCACCTCCCCTTTCACAGATGAAGGAACTGTCATCGAGAGACACTGAGTGGCCCAAGGTCACAGCTTTCCTCTCACTTGACAGACGGAAGCCTGATGGGCATGAGCCCCCAAGCACCTCTTTCCTTTCCAGGCCGCCCTGAGTCTGCTGCTCCTAAGATGCCCCCCACATCCCCCCGAGCCCCCGCCACACAGTCTGTGACCTCACAGGGAGGAGCCATCTTGGCCATCACAGTGCCGGACGTCCGACTTCTCTGCGTCACACCCCTCCCCACACAGGACCACTGCCTGGCGGAAGGTGCTTTACAAGGCCTACGGAATACGGGGCTTTCCTCGTGTTCTACATGCCGGGTACAGTGACGGGAGAGGTAAGATGAAGACGTTCGGAGAGAGAGACAAAAGGCAGCTGCCACCGCCTCTTACTGAATCTTTATTTCAAGCCCTTATTCATGAATTTTTCATTAAGTTAGGGCTTCTCTGTTTCCTAGAAAGTTCAAACTCGCTTATTTTAAATGTAAAGCCTGCATCGTATTCACACAGCATGACTCACAATTCTCGTTCGCTTGAATATAAAGATTCGGTTACAGACCAGTGTAGGAATACAGACACACGCAGGAGACGTTTGGTCTTATGGTTTTCAAGTTGAGGGAAGGGCGTTGTGGATGGGAAGGCATTTCAAAGACAGGATATTTTGGAATTGAAGCTGTATGCTAGTGGTAAGTTTTCAGACTAAAAATAAGTGAGACTTTAATTCAAATTTTTTAAAGAAAAAAAAATTCCCCCAAGTACTGCAACTTTCCTGTTTTAATGTTTACAAGAGCACCACCTTGTGGCAGAATCGAGGCAAAGCGGGTTCAGAAAATGCCGTGTGTCCAGTTCCAGGGTGGACCTAACATTTGATACGAAGAAGTTGAAAGTATGAACAGCACACACGCTCAAAAGTTTGGAAGACTCCAGAGGGTGACAGTGATGGAAAGGGTGAAAAGCATGCAAACAAAAGAACAGAAGAGCAAGGTGACAAAGCAGAAGAGAACAAATTTCAGTAAAATTCTAATGCATTTTATATTTATTATTTTCCTAAATTTTTAATGTGTGAATGACATAATCCAAGGTTTTAAAGTATTTTTCTTTTCCGTATAGAACACAACGATCTATCTAAAACAGCCCACAGGACTAACAGGAATATATCCAAAGTCATTATGTGCCCAGTACTCTTTTCTAAGCAGGGTCGGGGAGTTACTTGTTGACAGTAACTTATTAAACATATGACAGTATTTTTTGGCTGATCAACTTGCACAGGTGTTCCCTGTAGGCTGTAGGAATGTTCCGCTCAGGGTGGAGAAAGGACAGACAGATGGGGAGGAGGACATCGGATGAGAAGGTAGCAGCTGGACACAGCACGATGCCAGGAGCGAAGCTGCCGGACCAAGTGGGCTTCCTCTCTCCTTGAGGTGGGACGAGGGGCTATTGATGGAGAACCTGGTGGCTGAGGAGGGAGGGGTGAAGGGTGAAGGGTGCTGGGGGGCAGACCCAGGGTTCCTGGGGTAAGGAGTAGGGGAGGCAAGAAAGACAGTGCTGCGACTGGGGAGGAGGGAGCAGATGCAAGAGGTCTGTCCCCGAGGCAGAGGGGACACACGGAAGGGGGACTGTCGCAGCCGTCTAGAACCTGCCCAGGATCCAGAGCAGCCAGGGGGGAAGTGACCCGCTCCCTCCCCCAGCTCCCTGGGGAAAAGGTGCAGAGACGGGCGGACAGGCAGGTAAAACCCCTGGAAACGTGCTTCAGAGCTGTAAGTGTGAAGGGTTCAGAAACAAAAGCCATGACAGAATTCTTTTCTCTGAAGGAAAGCAACGTTAACGAGGCTAAACATGGCAGGACTGCCCATGAGAAAAAAGTCCTTGGGGGATGCTTCCAACCCCCTGCCGGGACAACCACAAGGACCTCTGCCCTCCCACAGTGGGGGCTCCACAGCTCTAATGGGGCCATGTGACAGAACGGGGTGCCGTCTCCTGTCACCTTCCTTTCCGGAGACTCCGACCTGCTGGAGGTGGGAGAGACCCGGGTCCTCTCTCTGTTCCTCTCCCAGCCCACTTACTGCTCGGCCGGGCACACAGCCGGCACTCAGTGGAGGTGCTGAGTGAAGGAAGAAGAGACGCCTTCCTGAGGCCCCTGGGGTTTGCGGGGTTCCTCTCAAAGAGCACGGCATTCACTGGGCGACCTGGATGCTCAGGTGAAAAGAGAAGGTGGTCCGACAGCTCTTGGCACCGGTGAGATCGGGGCGCCTGAGAACGGGACGGGGGTCTCACTAAATGCAGGCCTGCCGCGGGCCCGGGAGTCTGCAGCCCCCACCAGCTCCCTGGGGGGCTGGTGTTCCTGAGCCGTGGCCAAAACTGCAGCCGTGGGGGACTTCGAGACAGGGCTCTCTCAGAACGCTACGTGAATAAAACTCCTGGAGCAATGTCTCACGTGGGTTCTCGTGTAAAGTTCACTGAGTAACGAAAAGGAAAGTGTCTTCAGTATGGGTTCTTATGATACAGGCACATTCTTTCACGTGACACTCTCGTCTCTGCGATAAATGCCAAGGGCTCAAGACCAAAACTAAACTCGAGAAGGCGCTGAAGTGCTGCAGGAATAAGGGGTTCAAGATCTGTTGCCTTCTGAGCTCTGTATTTCCTCACTAACGGAATCATGGGTTATGCGTCTGTCCTCTTGCTGCCCCTCACTGCCCCCCTCAGATATTAAGACACCTCAATGGCAAAAGAGCACCGGTTACACTGCAGTCGATTTGTGCTTGAATCCTGGGATGAGAACTTCCCGATTCGTCACTGAGTGTTAAGCGGCGGAAAGAGCGGTGAACAGGACACTCGCCCTCAAAGAGCTCGCTGTCTAGTTTGAGAGAAGATACAAAATGATAACGAGGCCACACTGTAATGGCGGTGCTCCCATGTCGGGGGATTGGGGGGGCCAGGAGAGGCCTCACAGAGGAGGTGGAAAGACGACTCAGTAGGAGTTTGAACGGGCAGTAAAAAGGGAAGAAGGTACTTCAGGCAAAACACCAATGTAAAAATATAAAATATAAAAATAATAAAAGAGCCAAAGCAGCAATATATGCAGAGGCACGATACCTTGAAAAAGCACAGGAGAGGCACTGAAGCAGGGAAGTGACAGACTCGGGTGTGGATTTTGGAAAGACAAGCCTGCTGTCCTTGACAAGGGCTGTCTGGAAGGGGGAGAGACCAGGACGGGGGCAGGTGGACACTGCTGCGACAGGCCCTGCCGAGATGGCGGTGGACAAACTGGGCAGTGCAGTGGGGATGTGGGGGGATCAACACGGTGAACAAGGGGCAGGACAAGGGGTCAAGGACGGCCCAAGTTCCCCAGAGGTGCCAGCTGGGTGGCCAGCGGTGCGGTCTCACCCACCAGGACGCAGGAGGAGCCTCCGTGGGACACGCTGGGGAGGGGCTGAGCCCGGGCCACGCTGAGTTTAAGAAATCCGTCACACACCTACCTACACGCAAGTGGCCCGAACCCACTGAAGGGCGGGCGCGGTGCAGGGGAAGGGAGTGCAAGCCACTTAATGAAACGCGTCGCTGGCTGGTCTCTGCGGACCAGAGATCCTGTCTGTCACTACGATGAAACCTGGGCGCCACCTCTAGTAAAAGCAGCCCGCACACGGAGAATCGCGACTGAGAGGGAGCAGGGCGGGGAGTGGCCGAAGGAATCGGAGTTGTTTAACTCAAGGGACAGAGGGTGGGCTAGGATTCTGTGATGAGGAATTCCCAGCAACACAGGGGCCGCAGCAGCACTGACCACATGGCCCTGCTCGCAGACGACAGGTAACCGGCGCTCGGCCAAGTCTCTGTCCGGTTCCTCAGTGTGCACACGGACACCATGTGGGGCTACCACACGACACGGTGCCCGGCGCGGAGGTGGCAGGGGCGTCCCGAGGTGCACACCCGGGGGCCTGTGTGTACTTTACCCCACGGGCCTGTCCTACTTCCTGTAGCTGTCTGTTTCTCTGTCTGTCCTTCTGTCCGTTGAGCGGTGGAAGGAGAGGTGAACAGACGAGGTGTCGGGGAGAACTGGAGACAGATACCCTCTGTGGTGCCCCAGCGGCCGGAGGCAGGGATCTGGGGACGGCAGTGCTCACACTGGGTCTCGGCCACGGAGGCGGCTTCCTGCACAGTCTGGACAGCCACGCTGTCCAGCGGCGGAACAGGCCGCCACGCTGAGGCAGAGCTGCCTGTCGCTGGCGGAGAGGCCGGGTGACGGGGCCTAGGGGGTTCCTACGTGGCCGAGGGGCTGAAGGGGGGCCGAAAAAGGAGATTCCCAAAGTCTCTTTCAATGCACACAAATGGCTAAAAAAAAAAAAATTTCTGCCTGTTATAAAAGCAAATTAAAAAACAACTGTTAACAGTGGTAAAATGCACATGTAAAACGTATCATGGTGACCATTTCCCAGGGCGGCAGCATCAAGGGCATTCTCGCTGCGTGCACAGAAGTTCTGGATACAAAGTGCCAGCTGCCCCGTGTCCCGTGGAATGAGGCAGCAACGGACAAGCAACGGGCCAAGGCACCGTGTCAACACGACGCCCGACTCCCTCTGAGGGAGCAGCGTCTGCTCTGGTGACCCGGCCAAACAACTGTGATAAAACAACGACAGAGTTCTCCACACACAGCCCTAGTCAGCCTGCACGCGTGTTCTCCCCTGGGTCTGCTCTGCCAAATCGTCTTTCCTTTAGGGCACCGCCCCTCCCACTCCTCTGGGTGGTGGGCTGGTTGGTCTGGGTGTTCTGTCTGAGAAGGAATCTTCCTTCTCTGCGGATTTGAGCCTTTGCTCTGAAACAAGGAAAGGAAGACAGAATGGCCGAGGGAAGCTTCCGAGTAATGAGCACAGCCCACTCGGGCGCAAAGCAAGCTGCCACGGATCCGTGCCTACAACCCCACACCTCGCTGGGCCGTTGTACACAGCAGACAGGCTGGCGGGTGGCCCACCCGCCCAGGTACTGTTCACAGACCCGAGCCTTCCCACTTCAGGTTAAGAGCTCATGTCTCACCACCCATTTTCTCCCTTTCTCTTTCCTCTTCTGGCTTAAATGGGCACAGAACACTGCATTTGATTCTTTGTTCTAAAAGGAACCCTCGTCTCTGCCTGTGCTGTTATTCATCTGATTTCTCTGACAGAATCCTTTTTGCCTCTTAACACAAATCTGCTGTATAAAACATGTCAAACGTTTCTTAAACACTTTCAAATACTCACTGAACTAACCACACAGTTTTCTTTTCGCCAAGTACAGATCAACCTTTCCTGCATGCCTCGGGCAATGGAGAGCCCCCACACCCAGGCGCTCAGGGGGGCCAGCTGCCTCTGCCGGCCCAGAAGAGGCTGGCTTTCGGTCAGCAAGAAGGGACCCCCACCTAACTGAGGTGGGGGGCGCTGCAGATTTTCAACTGTTCACCCCACTTGCAGAGCACAGCCACCACCACGACCGCGAGACGTCGATCACTGGCGTGCTGGCAAAGCCCTGCCGAGGAAGGCTGCCTTCGAATCGCCGTTATTGGCTACTTTTAACACTGAGCTGTAAAATAAGAAGTGCCCCAGGATGACATTGTGCAAAGTCTCACAGGGGAGTTTCAGAAAGAGCTGAGGTGCAGTGCAGAGGGGTGAGCAGGGCGAGAAGTGACTTAAACCCCACAGGGCTTGCGGAAGTGAATCGGAAACTTAATCTTAATGAACTCAGTTCACACGGCCATACATGGCCAGTGGCCCCCACTGAACTGCTGGCGGGCAGGTTCCTGTGGCGTGATGGCAGCCGCAGCGGAGCTGGGCTCCCCGAGCCCCAGACAATCCCCCACGCCCCTTCTACCGGAGTCACAGAGCCCCATGGGGTGCTGCGAAGGCTGAGCACGTGCCATTGGCCCAGCTGGCCCGGAGGCCCTGAAGGCAAGCACTTGTCTACTTCGTCTCCGTGTTCCTTCAGGGAGCTGCGAAGGCTGTCTAGAGTGGGCCGCCGGACGTCGAACACCCCCTGGCGGTGCTGCACACGATCCCCATCCCCCCCACCCCGCACCAATGAGTGCTGTTAGCGGCACCTTCTGTGATGACGGAAGGATAGTGCATCTCCGCTGCCCCACGTGGTCAGCACTGCCTACGTGTGCATTCTAAGCACTTGAAATGAGGCTTGTGCTCCTGAGGAACTGAGTTTAAATTTCATTTCACCTTAAATAATTGAAATCTGAATAGCCGCATGTAGCTAGTGGCTACTGTCCTGGCCGGCAACGGTCCAGATGCTCTGCAGCGCCATGACGAGGCTGCAGACCACAGCAGGCAGAACTGGCACAGGGCTGGGACGGGCTTCCCAGAGCCCCTGGTCAGTCCCCTAAACCCTCCTCCTCCTTTCAGCGTGGTGGTGGAACCCCACCCACTGCGGGCTCCCGCTGGTTCAACTCAGGCATCCCTGCACTCGAGCCTTCTGTTGTAGGATTTGCAAAGCCGGTGTCACCCAAAGGAACACACACCCTTCCACCATGGCCCCACCAGGGCTGCAGCTGGAGCAGGAGACAGTGACCATTCCAACAGAAGCAACATCCACGCTCAGGTCACAAGGAAATAAGGACAAGAGGGATTATTTTACTGGACGTGTTAAGAACTCGGATAAGCTAGAAACCATGTTTGCTGTGGTCCAGGGCAGCAGGGAGGCAGCAACCGCACGTAAGTGGGCAACGAGGCCTCGTGAGGCCTGGGGTACAACCAGGTTGCATTTGCTGCTTTAAGCCAGTAGCTACAATGGTGAAAATTTACAGATTAACTAAAGTGCCTCCTCACTAACCTATGCTGTTTGGGGGAGGCGTTACGTTTATATTCTGGGTGAAGCATGGAACTTCACAGAATGGGAACCAATGACTATGGCTGACTACCTAACAGTTGATCCTATCCCACTTCAGCTTAAAATGTCATTTTATTTATTGATAACCTGTATCTTTGCCACTTCAAAAGATGATTCCATGGCTTACTCTGAAATGAACAGATATGGATGGCAGAACTATGAATTCATTAAAATGAAAAAAATTAAGGCTAAAATTAATAAGGCAAAAAAACGGTAGGGACTCTCTCAGAAACCTGGGCTAAGGGAAGCCAATGCACCTGAGCGTAATATGCAGCTCTGAGCTCCCTGGTGATCAAGTCAACAAAAGAACTAGTGCTTAGATACATCTTATTGCATAATAATAGGACTCACACCAGTATTTTAGGAAAGATCTTGTTTCCTGGCCTTGAGAGGAGTTGGTAAGTTTAAAAAAAAAGACAGTGGGGACATAAAACAATTTAATACAACCTGTCCTTGACAAAAATCTAACAAAAATTCAGACATGTTCTATGCATATTTTTTCTTTATACTAACTACTTACTGAAGAAAAAAATGAAAACAGAAATCCTAAGGGCATACTGCGGTTCCGAGAAGGCTTTCTGTGGAGAGCTAGAAATAGGCATATTTCTTTTTAAAAAATATTTACTTATTTAGAGAGAGAGGGAGGGAGGGAGAAAGGTAGGGAGAGAAAGATCGATGTGAGAGGGAATATGGATTGGCTGCCTCTCATATGAGCTCCCACTGGGGACCTTGCCTGCAACCCGGGCATGTGCCCTGACTGGGAATTGAACCGGTGACCTTTCACTTTGTGGGACGACGCCCAACCAACTGAGCCACGGGGGTGGGGGGCAGCATATTCCCAATGATGTGGAACCCCGTAGTGGTACGACTCTGACACGCCAGAGAAATGCCACTGTGGGTAATACGTCTGCACCTCTGGAATATGGAGTGACTTAGACTCAGCGTTGCTCACGCAGAGCACACTGTTTGGGGGAGATGATGACATGTCCTGGGAGGGCAGGAGGTCTCGGGAAGTCCAGCCTTAAACCCCAGGCACCCATCTTGTCTGCTCGTGGGGGAAGGGCGAGTCTGACGCCTGTTCCCAGCCCAGCAGGAGCAGCCTAGGGAGCTGGCTGCAGGCAGCCCTGCGCGCCTCTCACCCAGCCACCTGGGCCCGAGCAAATGCCTCAACAGTTCAAACAAGCAGGTAGAAAGAGAGAATGACACGATGACTTACCCTTGGTGTGGGCTTTGGTTCTGAGAAACCTCGGAATCGCTGTCTTTCGGAGAGAGCGAGCCCTTGTAGGTATAAAACACATCCTCGGTTTCGGTAATGTATGTCATTTCGTTGGCGAGGTTATCTGCAGAGGAGTGCCGTGGCTTTCGGATTTCATGCCGGAGCCGGGGACTTCGCCTGCGTGGGGAAAAGGTGGAGCCAGAAGCGTTGAAAGCAAATTCCACTTAAAAGTTTTTATCAGACACCAGTGATCTAACTTTGTGCCCTGACCAGATGCCTGGGTTGATGCTGTTGGAAACTGAGAGCCAGTTAACCCACGGCTACCCCAGAATCCAGCAAGAGCCACCTGGGGCCCCAAACTGTCAGGCCAGTGGTGCAGCCCCCAGACCAGTAAGCTCAGCTTTACATAAACAGGCAGAGGAGTCGGGTTTATGCCCTTTGGGAAGGCAGTGAATGTAGATGCAGGGTGAGTCATTCTTCAAGGAGAAGTCGAGCTCTCAATGCATAAATAATAACAGGCCATACTGGAGCCTGAGCAGATCATTTTTCTGACGAATTTCAACAGCATAAACAAGGGGTTCAGAAGTCAAGGTACAGTTTTGGCAAAACTCAAACCCTATTTCAATTTCCCTTCATGCGAATGTCACTCGACCCAAGAAGAAAGGTTTGCTTTGTAAAAATCCAACCCTTAGGTGATATTAGAAGGATGGAACAGCACCATCCTTTCCCTCCGACAGCAGCAGTAGCTGTGTGACCTTAAGCAAGTCACATCACCTCTCTGGGCCTTAGCTGTACCTACCTCCCTGCTCCTGAGAGCGAATCAGATGAGGCAATGTCCTCAGGATGGCCGGAGCAGCACCTAGGCATCGGCTCTTGCAGTGGGCGATTCCAGCCTGCTGAGCTCAGTCCCACCTTCCCTCAGTCTTCCCACTCTCCCCTTCTTATTAGTTAGCCATTTCTCCTGAGGACCGTCAGAGCCTCCACTATTCACACACCCCTGGGCCTGGATGATCAATAACACTGTGTCCAAAGTAGAGCAGAAAGGCTCGTAAATCCTCAGGAGAGGACCTATAAATAGCAGTAAGAGCTCCCAGCCAGGGGTGTGGCAACATCAAACCCGCTGTTCTGGAAGCTGTCCTGGGCCTCTGCTGTCCCTGGCACTGCTGCCCAAGAGACTGTGAGACGAATGCCAACACTAAATGCCATCGTCCTCCCTGCCCAGAGCATGTGGCCCCAGCGGAGGGTCCTCACTCAGGGGCCTGTGAGAATTTCCCTTAGTCCCAGCAAGTCCCAGCTCGGGAGTTCACGGGTGCGCCTGTCTCTCGTGAAATGGACAGGAAACCACACTCGCATTCCAGCGCAGAGCAGGGGCAGTGTTTCCAGACTGGTTTCCCCTCCAGCCGCTGATGCCAGGCTGTTTTGGCAGCATTCACAAAAACTGCCTGATGCCTTTATTATAATAAAATAACAACAATAATAATTCCACCTCCTCCCATGTTTATAGCTTACGAAGCACTTGTACCTTATTTCATCTGTGGTGATTTTTTTATAACCCTTTTACAGCTGGGGTGACTGAGACCCGAGAGGTAAAGAAACTTGTTAATTCACAGAAAAGCCAAAATCTGAGTCCGGATTTTTTAGCTATAAACCCAGAGCCCTTCCCATTTGCCAAACTGCCACTTCCCTCCTTTTCGGTCCAAGTCCATCAACTTAAATGTGGGCAGGCTTCCTCCCCAGGGCATCTGCTATGTGTGGCTGGGGGTCGCACATCCTTACGTCAGTCACATCAGGCACCTTTAGCAAGTTTCCCCCAAATTCACCCTGAGCGATGCCAACGGGAGAGATGAGATTAAACAAAATTAAATGTGCTCCTTGTTTCCGGACTGGTTAGGGCGCGCACGGGCTCACGTGCACTGCCATTCCGAGAGGAGCGGTGCAGGAGGCTGCGGTCCTCGGGCTCGCGCAGCCCAGACACGCCAGCAGTATTACACATAAGGAAGGCGTCTGGCCCCACTTGAGCATTTCAGGGAAAACAGTTCAGGAGCCAAACCTGCTCATGTAAACTCTGATTGTAGACTATTTCTACTTTAGGAATTTATTGAGTTTCTTATTTTGAAAGAGATAAAGAGTTTAGTGGGGGGGGGGCACAGATTAAAAAAAAAAAAGGAGGACATACCAGTTGGGAGTAATGGGGGGGGACCGAGAAGGCAGACTCTTGGTTTCTAAATGCTCCACTGACGTGGATCTCCGCATGGCTGGGTTCCAGACCATCCCTCCAATCACCTTTCTGCAATACTGGTTATTTACCGACCTGAAAAACCAGACGCAGGTTCACTTTCTACACTGCCGTATTCGACAACGAAGAAACAGCAGCACAGATGGAAGAGTCCACAACACAGCCCCTCCCGAGCCTGCGTGCCACGGGCCGAGGGGGCAGGAGCACAGGCGCGTGGGTCAAGAGCAATTCTTTTCTGTTCTGGTTTTCCCTTACGTCCCGTCTTCTCTTCTGGTGAAGACACTTTCTTGTCCTTGCTACTGCAAGCAACCAAGCTGCTTCCAGAACATAAGCGAGCCTTACCAGGTGAGGAGGAATTTCAGGATAACATAGAAAAACAGTTCACGTTGCTTCAAGGAATTCTCACGTGACTCACGCTGGCACGGGTACGCACACGGACCGTCTTCCCAGGTGCTTCTGGTCAGCCCCGCGCACGGGCCGCCACGTCCACCCAGGCCGCTCTCTGAGAGAAGACCTGGGGACGCGCTTACTTAGACAGGAGAACCGGGTCTCGTCCTTTGTGCCACCCTGAAGGTTACTTTGGAATTTTATGTGCACCAAGAGTTTAAATCTTAGCTAACTAGACCCGCTCAGAACATGAATTATTACTTCAAAGGATGAAGTTTGCAGCTAGTTTAGGGAAAACTCGGTTCTGGAATTTCTGAATTTTAAACAGTACTTCAGTGTCTTATTAAAACATTGCACACGTTTGCTGCAGTCTAAAATCAACAACAATAACAAGCAACAACAACCAAAAGGATACAAACAATGCAAAACGCCCCCTAGAATATCAATGTACTAATTTACAGTAAGAATTACTGTCATCACCCTCATCGAAACGCTCACAGCAGCCCTGCTAGGAGACTCTCCATCAGAAACCAAATGGCCATCGACTGAGAGCACAGCATCAGGAGGAGGAAAGCAAGCTAGATGGTTCAAAGGTTTAATGTTCCCCAAAGACTATGTCATAGGTTATTAATAGGCACTCTTTGCGGGGGGGAGGGGAAGTGTTCCACTGCCCCATTAGCTTAGAGAACACAGAACAGGTTTCTTTCATGTGGACCCTTTTAGGGGGGCCTCATATGCAAATGTGGAGATGTCTCTCTGGGGGCTGAGCCAGTCATGGAACCTCTGTAGGCCTCAGTTTCTTCACCTATAAAATGGAGATAAGGAGGACTGAAATTGTCCAGTCCACTGGAGCTGATACTGATAGTCAAGCGTTGCGACCCAGGCCCCTGAGCCACCCCAACCTCCCAGGTGACAGCCCCTCCTCGTGGCAGATGAAAGGTGGCTACACGGTCTCTGACTCCCGAACCCGGGCTGGCCGGTGACTGCCGTGACCAGGAGTAGCTGTGCCACTTCTGGGCCTCGCCTTCAAGATGATCGGCCATCTCCGTCTTGGACTCTTGGAGCCCCAAGCCTCCGTGTCCAGAATACCACTGCCCTGTGGGGAGTCTGCGCGAAGGGGCCCCGAGATCACAGAGGGGGATGAGGGGCCGGGCGAGCCCAGCCCACCAGCTGCGTGTCACTGAGAAACCTCAGTCTACACTACACAGGACCAAGGCCTTCCCGATTTCCTGACCCGCAAATCCTTGAGATGATATCATAGGATGGTTGTTGCTCTAAGTCACCAAAAGAAGGGTAGTTTTTTTATGCCACGGTGGGTAACCAGATCCCCTCTCCCCCGCCCCATTCCACGCTGGCTGCATTTTATAGAAGAGGAAATCGAAGCAGCAAAGTAAATTGAAACTGAAGTGCTACAGGCGGGATCTGAACCCAGGCTGCTGGCACCAGAATCCTGCTTCAGTTGCTCGCTGTGCCAGCTCTCAGCTGGCCCAAAGGGCTGGTCCAGCGGAAGCAGGTACTACATTCCAGTAGGTTGTGTCCACGACTCGTTCACTAGTGGAAGGACTGAACGTACAGAAACACTGGGCGGTACTACAGGAGCAAAACCCTTTGAAAATATACTTGTTCCTGGTTTCTGAGAAGCTGACAGAGAGCACTTAGCACCATAAATACTGTCACTAACAGGAACTCCCTACTTACTGACTCTGTAAAGGTACTTAATGGTCATCAACGTGACAGTAAGGTCCCTGGAAGAGTCTGACTCAGTCCCACACATCGGACACTGGTTCGTGAGGGGACATCAAGTAGTAACGGCCATCTCAACAACGCAAAAAACCACAAAAACAATGTTTTCACACCAAAAATCGATCTAGAAGTCGTAAGAATGACTGATAAACAATTTCTGCAACATCTTGTACTTGGAAGACATTTTTAGGACAAATAAATACACAAAAATATAAACTGCATGGTTAGTTTATTTAGAGAATAAATGTTAATCTATATTAAAAGCTAAAAACTTATAATGTAATTTCTTTTACTGTACTACTTATGACCTACTTTGAATATTATTCTTGTAGATAATGTCACTTGAAGAATTAAATATAATTAAGTACGTGCAAGTACAAAGTAGGCACTAAATAGTTATCGGTTATAATTATTACGGTTATGTCATGACTGTTATATATAACATGCCAGAGCCAGTCGACCCTGGAAACCTTTAGTGCTGTTGATTCGTTCATTATTATGAAGCACCTCAGGGGATTAACAGTCTGTGGGAGAGGCCGTCTCAGTGGCAACTGGCCAGGGAAGCCCGCGTGCCAGGCACCACGGTGACCCTGAGTCACGGCCACGTGCTTCCTGATTGTGACAGGGTGTGAGAGCAGCTGTAACTTCGGCTGCCTGGGAGCCTGGAGGACGGCAGGGTTGAGAAGGCAGAAACGAACGACAGGAATAGGAGCAGCGTCTGAGTGTATGTGGAAAGAGACATGGCTGCCCCCGGAGAGACCTGCAGCCATGGTTCTGAGACCCGCCAGCAGCTCCGGCCCCAGGGCCTGGGGCCCCTGGGGCAACAGCGCCCCTCCCCCTGACTGAGGACCACAACCCAGGGGTGACCGGGACGTGTTTACATCCCAGTCTATCGCGGAGACTATGATGTACTCACTTTCTGGGGTTCCTAGAGCCCAGCGTCCAGTACTGAGACAGAGCATTCTTTTCCTGAGGTAGCAGCTTCTTTGCCTGAAAGAATGTATGGTGTTCGACACAGGATTTCCACAAGTTTTTGCAAGATCGGTAATTTAACATGTTGAAGGCCACAACATGATCCCTGGATTCAGTCTGGGAGGAAGAACAGAGTAGAGATTTCATCTGCATAGGTGCAGAAGCGGGGTCTCAGCATTTCCCACCCCGTCGCTGGCAGCCAGGGAAGACTGACAGATGGCAGAAAAGCGGACTCGCAAGGCCTTGGGCGCAGCCCAGGGCTGCGGGGATCTCCGGGAGCCGGCTCTGTTAGCCATCTCATTAGTGGGAAGGACCGCCAGAGCCTGCTCTTCATCGGTGTCTGTGGTCTGTCGTGAACACCTTCATCTCAAGCGTACTTACATTTCTAGGTTGGATATATTTGGAGCAACCACATAAGGGCTGTCTGGTACATTCTCTCCCCTGGAGAGATAAGCTTTCACCTATCAGACAACAGGAATTTCATAATGCTTTAGATTTCTCTACTTGCTTCCTACAAAGCAGAGTCAAATCTGGCACTAACACATAAAAATCACTTTAATTATTTGCTTTACCTTCAGCCTACCTGAGTTTAGGATTTCTGTTTTCCTGTTACATTACCACCCCGTGCATTTCCGGGCCACCTTGACTGGTGTCCGGGGCGGTTGGGAGACCCAGATTCTAGCCCTGCTTCCCTCTGGGCTTTGCTGTTCCTGTTCCTAAGCACTTACTGCGATGGGAGCCGTGTCAGGTACATACTATCTTTGAAACCCTGGGAAACACCGTGGACAGAGTGACAGGAAGTGAAAACTGCGCAGCATAACAGGACGGGGTGTGGTGTCGTGGAAGGAGCAGACGGCTCTGATTTGAATTCCAGCCCCTGCACTTTGCAGCTGTGGAGGCCTCAGCTTCTCCACAGCTAAGTCGTCCTCCCTCGTGGATAAGCCGACTGAGCTGCCCGGGGAGCTGGGGCCTCTTAGGAGGTGCATGCAATGGCTGGCGTGCATGTGAAACGCATCAAGGGGAGGAACCGACCCTGCTGACTCTCCCGCTGCTCTCCTGTGCCAGGTGCTCTGACTGATGCTCTTTCATTTAATCCTCACGATGCCCTGAGAAGTGGGCATCACTGCAGTTCTGTAAAGAAGGTAACCTGGGCCAGGGCAGGTGAAGTAACCTGAATCCATCGTCTGACTCCAAAGCAAGTTACTTCTCCAGCCAGACAAGCAGAGCGAGTTGTACAGAAAAATGCTAGGTCCTCTGGGCTCTGGGTTCTTCTTGCTTTCTGCCAAGTACCCTCTCTGACATGTGTGGGGCAAACTGCCTCCACCCAGGAAGGAGCTGAGGTGGCTAAAAACAAGAAGCAGCGACCAAGACAGAGGTGTGGATACATAAAACTTTGCCTCCATGCACAACCAAAAGAAGGATAATAACAAATTTAAAAACACAAACAACCAGAACTACCAGAAAATTGAACTGTATGGAAGTCTGACAACCAAGGAGTTAATGAAGAAACATTCATCCAGACCTGTAGGAGGGGTGGAGATGGGCAGCTGGGGTGGAGAGGACTTGCAGCAAGGCAGCTGCTGGCAGACCAGATGATCCCACATTTGCATGAGGATAAATGCAGAGGAACAACTGGGAAGCAAGACAGACCATGCAACCCAGGACTCCAGTGGGGAAAAAACAGAGTCTCAAAACCTCTGACTGAAAATACCCGTGGGGGTTGAGGCAGCAGGAGAAACTCCCAGCTTCACAAAAGAGGTCGTTGGAGAGACCCACAGGGTCCTAGAACGTACACAAGCCCACCCACCCAGGAATCAGCACCAGAAGGGCCCACTTTGTTTGTGGGTAGTGGAGGAAGTGGCCGAAAGCCTGCTGAGAGCAGAGCAAGCAGCACTTTTCTCTCTTGGACCCCTCCCCCCCACATAGCACCACAGTACAGAAAGGTGGGTTGCCTCACCCTGGTGAAAACCTAAGGCTCTGCCCCTTACTAGTAACAGGCGTGCTGATATAAAAAAAAATATAGCCCAGATGAAAGAACAGATCAAAGCTCCAGGAAAAAATACAACTAACTGATGAAGACATAGCCAGCTTATCAGATGCAGAGTTCAAAACACCAGTATTCAGGATGCTCCCAGAAATGGTTGAGTATGGTTGCAAAATAGAGCAAAAAGTGAAGGCTATGAAAAGTGAAATAAAAATGCACAGGGAACCAACAGTGAAGGGAAGGAAACTGGGACTCAAACCAACGGTTCGGAGCAGAAGGAAGAAATAAACATTCAATCAGAGCAGAATGAAGAAACAAGAATTCAAAAAAATGAGGAGAGGCTCAGGAACTTCTGGGACAACTTTAAACATTCTGAATCATAGGGGTATCAGAAGGAGAACAGGAAGAGCAAGAAATTGAAAACTTATTTGAAAATATAATGAAGGAAAACTTCCCCAATCTGGCAAAGAAAATAGACTTCCAGGAAGTCGAGGAAGCTCAGAGTCCGAAAAAAGTTGAACCCAAGGAAGCATACACCAAGGCACATAAGATTATATTACCCAAGATTTAAGATCAGGGGAGAATCTTAAAAGCAGCAAGAGAAAAAGAGAGAGTTACCTACAAAGGAGTTCCCATAAGGCTATCAGCTGCCTTCTCAAAAGAAACCGTGCAGGCAAGAAGGGGCTGGAAAGAAGTATTTGAAGTCATGAAAGGCAAGGACTTTGCCTTTCCAAGATTATTCTATCCAGCAAAGCTATTATTTAGAATAGAGGGGCAGATAAAGTGCTTCCCAGACAAGATCAAGTTAAAGGAGTTCATTATCACTTCGTATCACTTCATCACATAAATCCTTCTTATATGAATGTTAAAGGGGCTTATCTAAAAAAAGAATAAGATCAAAAGCACAAAAGAGTAAAATGATGACAAACTTACAACTACCAACAATTGAACCTAAAAAAACTCTAAAAACAAATACAAAAATAAACTAAGCAAACAACTAGAGGAACAGATTCAAAGCAATAGAGATCACATGGAGGGTTATCAGTGGGGAGGGGAAGGGAGAACAGGGGAAAAGGTACAGGGAATAAGAAGCATAATTAGTAGGTACAAAATAGACAGGGGAAATTAGGAATGGCATAGGAAATGGAGAAACCAAAGAACTTATATGTATGGCCCGTGGACATGAACTAAGGCGTGGGAATGATGGTAAAAGGGAGTACAAGGTGGAGGGGAATAAAGGGGAGAAAAAATAGGACAATTGTAATAGCATAATCAATAAAGTATATTTAAAAAACGAGAAGCAAAGCAAGCATAGATATAACTCACCTGTTTTTGGCGTTGTTGTATAAAGAACTTTTTCCTTTTGAAAGAAATTTTTAGGATGTTCACCCTGCAAAAAGGAAAACACAGAAAACAACCACAGGAAAGCACATGAGGGATCAGCTGGGCTGTAGCTGACACCTCCCAACGCAAGTCCTCTAGTCCTTGATGGGGGTGACCGGAGTTTGCTTCAGTGTGGAAATGACCGTGGCCCACAGCCTTAGCCAAACACCAAGCAGCTGACTGAAGCCGAGTAACACATAAGGGCCCCTGGATTATGATGCAGCTTTTAAATGACAGGAACTACGGGCAGCACGCTCTTTGCTGTCAGCTGCTTTTGTGACGGAGCGGCTCTGCATGAGCTGGTGTGGGCCTGGGGAAGACAGGTGAGGGCAGTGTGGAGCCACAGACAGAGGACAGACAGAGCAGCCTGACCGGACCCACATCGCAGCCGAGTTGCTTAACTCTTGTTATTTACAGCTGTGCATCCGGTAGCCTCCTGACTGTTTGTGTAACAACATAATCACGGCCACCATTAACTGCGCATTTTTTATATGCCTGGTCCCCTACCAAACACTTTCCAAGCAGTCCCTCAACTAAGCCCTGCAACGTGTCCTGAAAAGGATGTTTTATTACATGCAGTTTTCAGATAAGGAAATCGAGGCTCTAAAACATCACCTAAGTGCTCAACTAGGAATACCTGAAGCCGGGATTCGAGCCTGTGTTCCTAAGTCCTCCACTACAAAGCCTTTCCTACACACTCCTCTGGTGAGGATTCAGGTCTTGGGTCCTCTGAGTTTTGGGGCCAGAAATGAACCCTTGTAAAAGTCCAATTAATAACTAAGCAACCACACTGAAAATACACTTCCTTCCCAGAGGAACTTCTCTGAATTCTGGTCAATGCACTGCCCAGGATTCCTCATCTCCAAAACCTGCCCTGCACCATTTTATCCACATTTCCACCGAGCATCTCAAACCACAGGGTGACTGGGGGTGGGGAGGGGATGCCAATGAAAACACACATTCCCAAGTTCTGAATCTGGATCCAATTCAGAGGTCAGAGGTAAACACTTGGGAGAAAGTCTCTATCCCTACGTTTAAAGTTGGAGGTAACATGCCTTTTGCTCAGCATATTTTAAAAGCACGATGCAGGAATAATTAGAGCCAGTTTGTACTTACCAAGGATAGAAACTCGTGCAAATATATTTTCGGTACACAGCAATGCCCCCAGAAGCAATTCCAATCATCAGATCTAAATTGTGCAGATCCTGCCAAGAGGAAGATCTCAGATTCACAGCGTGTCAGAGTCAGGCTCGTGTCCTCGGGCACCTCGAGCACCCACGCTTTTATAAACAGCAACGTGCGTGAACTTCAAAGGCAAAATGTTATGGTGAAGAGGCAAAAATCCCATCTCAACACGTACTAAAGATCCAGGTCCTCAGCACCAGAGTTTTCTAAAATGAACGCACAATTGCCTGAGACCTGCTTCACCAGTTTCAAAAGTCACCGGGCAAGCCCACTCATTCCACAGAATCACTGAAACGAAATTCGATTGAACCTTTTCACCAATTAGTATTGGATATCACATTAAAATCAGAAGGCTCTTGTGCCCTGCACAGCTTTATAGAAACCTCGACTCCCACCACTGGAAAGGTTTAGCCATTATAATGAAGTGTACATCCACCGACTTTAAATCCAGTGAAAACAGAAACGTCGCTTATAAATCCAATAAATTGGACATTTATGAAGAACCTATGTGCCAGGCATTGCTGTAGATAGTGAAGATATGGAAGGAAGATGCGGCACCATGAAGCTGTTTACGTCAGTTTGGGAACATGGTGAGTACATGTACATACAGTTTTCAAATGAAACAGCTCCTTCCCTTAAGTTATCTATACACCTATTTACCCAGATACTTGTACTTACAAGGAAAGAGCAGAGTTGGACTCGGATGGCACTTACTAGCTGTGTCATTTTGGACTACTGAGCTTTAATGTTTCCTTTCATGCAACAAGGACTATCGAACCCACCTCCAAGGGTTTACCAGGCTGAAATTAGAGAATATAAGTAAAGGTCGTAGGACAAGGCTTGCAACAACTCACTTTTAAAAAGTGGCGTGAACTTGAGGAATTAGAGAGACTGGCCAATGAAAACAGTGCCGATATAGTGAGAATCCAGGGAGTAGAGGGGCACCCAACTGAAATCACATGCTTAAGTGAAAGCAAATTTGTTTGGTGAAAACCAGGGTTGCATTATAAACGTGACACCTGGGATCAAAATATAGGGAAAAATACTAAGCAGGCAGGACAAACAAATGAGCAAATACAATCAAAACTGAGTGCAGAATAAGGACATAAACGAATGGCTTGGGTGGGCAGTGACCTGGGTCTCAAATCTCCTGGCTCTATGGTCTGTCCAGTCTGGACCTCCACCCAGCAGCACGGACAGTTACTGACCACTCAACTCCCACGCCCATCCCCACAGCTCCCAGCTCCCCTTGTACAAGGCAGGGCCACCTGACTAGTTCTGGCGATGTGCTAAGGTCAGAAGTGACAGTGTGTCTCCTCTGAGCCAGGTCATGTAAGAGCTGGTGTGCAGCCTCCAGCCTCCTCTCCTCGAGACAAGCACAAGGCCTTGAGCTGAGATGCTGAAGCCACAGCCAAGAGCAGCTGAGACTGCTGAGTCACACCTGGAGGAGGGCAGTCCTGGAGAGGCAGCAGGGCCCACTGCAGACTCTGAGCTCCTGAGAAGCTCTGCGGAGTCAAGGCTGAGATTCAGGGGGTTTTGGCTGATGCAGCATAGCTGGGGGTGACCCAGCTGCCTCTGGTCCTGTGGAGCTGTCAGCTAGATGGGTAATCACCTGACCTCAGGACCCTCATGGGCACTGGGGGTGGGGAGAACACGGGTCAACTCAGGCAGATATGAAGCCTACTTTACCACTGAAGAAAGTTCTCTTACATTTTGTTCCACTAGCAACAAAATATAATTTGCAACTAGGACTTAGTGGTCAAGTCCCAAAGTGGGTATTTTCTAAGATTCAGTACCTTTTTCCTACTTTATTCCCTATGTTGTAACGTGTCTGCCACAGTTTTGGGACTGAACAGTGTGTTTCTATGAATTGCAAAAATATTATATAGATATAAAATTTGGTCATTTACTCCACTTTCCTGGGCCTCAGTTTTCTCATCCGCAAAATGAGATAATTAGAATACTAACTTCATGAGGTTACTATAATTTTTGAAGGGGAACTCATGGTCTCATATGAAAACACCTGGGACAATGGCCAGTCCATCCATACTGGACGTTCAACCAATACTGGCTTCCTTTTGGATATGATGTGGGCCAATTACAGGCAGAAAAGGGAAAGGTCAGATATCAAGTAGACAGTGCTGGGGTCGTGCACTGAAGCCACTACTTCAGTGGCCATAAGGCCCTCTGAAAAGTCCATGAGTATCAGTTTCTCCAACTGTAAAATGGGAGTGATGATAATACCTCACAGGAAATAAATAAACTGCTGTGTGGCAGACAGAAATTGCTCAGGAAATAATAGATATTAGTCAGTTTTATTTAAAAAGTCACAACTGACTTAAAATATTGATGTTCATAATCCCATCATAATTTAAGAAAATAGTAATATTGGAGTCATTAGCTCTAATTTGAGCAGTGCTGAGATTAAACAGTAGAAACCTTAGCTCATTAAAGTGTTGCTGAGAAGACAGTTTTCTGCTTCTTCAACCCTCATATAAAACGGCCGTACAAAAACGACCCGTTTGCAATCCTCTGACCCCCATCTCAGATAAAGCCTCAGTACAAAGGCAAACATGAAAAAAGCAACTGAATAAATAACCAGCAAAACTCAGTATTACTTTAGAAACTTCCAAACTTCTGAAAAAAAGGTTTTGTGGGGGGTTTTTTTGCAAATAAAAAAGTTTCAGAAGATGTTTTCAAACTTTCAGAAATTAAAACAATTTTCTGAAGCAGAATGTGCCAGGGGCACCTACCCGGCCACCGTGCAGCTCCACCCCGTAGAAGTCGAGGGTCCGCGCTATGTTGATGAAGCAGGACTCCGCTTCCGATCGCTGCAGCCCACTGTAGGAGACAGAAGATCCAGAGTTCACCCAACAGAGGGTGTTAACTCCAAGTTCAAAAATTAATACAGACCCCAGAAAATCTGATAGCATTCCTCTAAAGTTACTAACTGCCTCATGTTACTAATCTTAGTCTAAATCTATATTCTACTAAACCAGGTTTTCCCTCTTGTCCACTGAGTAAGACTTCAGCTAGCCCACCCATGTCTTCATTAAATAATACTTCTCATTCAGCAGGCTCTCAACATTCAGACACAGAAGACTGTCACCTCCGGAATTTGCAACCTACTTATTCCCAGTTGGTTAATAGGTGCTCTTTAGGTCTTTCTGCCGCTATCCACCCTGTAAGCGGCAGCCTCAAACTTCCAGACGTCACCGTACTATTTTAGGACGCTGGTTTCTGCCTGGGGAGCAATTCTGGGAGAAGATTGGCAGAGCCTTTTAGAAGGGACGTTGGGTGGTTGGCCTTTGCTTTTATGGCCCTCCCAAGCACATGAGGCCCCTTGCAGCCCAGCCTTCCGTTTGGGGGGCTGGGGAGCCACCATAACTGAAGTAAGGGAAGAGGAGGCCAGGTGAGCTGTGTCTGTTGTAGGAAAGGCTTGATCCGAGTCAGTGCAACAGCCTGGGGTTCTGTTCTGGGAGTGAGGCAACCTCATGAGCTGAAGCTAGGGAGGGCTTTGGACTGACCCCGCCTGTCAGCATTTTTGTCCACCAGCCTGTGCATTAAATCCTACCAGAAGGAATGGCCCATTTTATTAAGTGGGGTAAACCATGAAAAGGTTTGCCTGGTAGGGCCAATTGTGGGGCAGTCTTTTAAAAATGGACCTGTCCTTGAGGAGTCAGCTGATTTCAACAAGACCCTAAAAGAGAACACAGCAAACAGCCCTAAGCTCTTGCTGCATTTTTACACTTTACAGAAGGCTGGTTATGCCAAATATATATGCCCTCATAAAGCTCAAAGGCTCACAAACCCCCGACATCTTGAAAGAGGACTCGTGAACCAAAGGGAGAGGAGGACACAGCAAACACAAGGGGATGTGGGCCCACAGTACCCAGCCCACGTTCCCAAAGTAGGCCACCCCCCCCCCCCCCCCCCCCCCCCCCCCCCCCCCCCCCTCACCTGTGCTGCTCGTGGAGCGATTCCACCTTTGTTAAAAAGTCTTCGTTCTGATCTGGTATAAACTGACTATCGGAAAGATAGCCTGGCTGATGAACGCAAGGATCATAATCTCCAAAATGAGCTATTGAGACAGAAGGAAGAGAAAATGCCTTTTCAGTGTGATCTAGATTTATAAGCATCTATAGCAACATACGAAAAACATTAATTGGAAATATTCTCCCCAAAAGCTCTGCCACCACAGGAAGCTGAGCTTCCCATTAGCTCCGGAATCCACATTTATTACTTGAACTCTCCCTGTGGGCAAAGCCCTGCCCTGTGTGCTCCAACCACACGCTCCTGGTCCCTGAGGCCACATAAGGGGGAAGGAGGTGACTGTTTAAATCTAGGGCCTTCCTAGTCTAGTCCCACAGCTGTTCCACACAGCACTTTGTGTTTGTACCCCTGGGTGAAGAAAAGAGAACCCACTCAGAAAAATGCCACTCTCTGTATGCCAGGCACTATGCAGGCTCCTATAGTGCCCCAAGGTTATTTAACCCTGGACCCAACTGCTCTAAAAGATGGGTGAGGGCAGAAGAGGGGCCACGCTGACCTTCTCACTGTCTGCATCCTGATTCATTCCCAGAATCCAGGAAGCACAGAAGGAAGGGAACCAGGATGTGTTCGGACGCCATGGGGGTAGGGGCATGAGGAATGGGAGTGGGTGGAGCTGAAGGATCTAGGCCCTGGCAAGGCTGAGGGGAGAGGGAAAGATTCTTAGGGGGAGTCAGAAGAGAGGTATTGGGGCTGTCAGAGAAATACTGTTGGGGACCTGCAGCCAGAGAGGGAAGAAAAAAGCTGGGGCACCTCACAGAAGAACCCCCAGACTGGCCCCTGGTCCAGATGGCACTCCTCCCCGCAGACCCTTGACTGTCCTCTGCAGACACGGCCCACTGAGCTCTGTAGTGTGATTCATATTCTTGAGAGCTGGGCGGTGTTCAACCTGTGCAAGTGCTCATGGCTGCCCTGGGGACTCAAGCCACCTGGGCGTCTGGATGGCGGAGGAGACTGGGAAAGAGAACCCTGGGCGGGCACCCAAGAACACCTACTTCCCTTCCCCAAGATTCAGTTTTTCCATCTGTATAAAAACAGGAGTGAGAAAGACAACTTCCAGCTCTGATGGGCAATTAATCTAGTATTTCATTTTCTTGATGAAATAAAAAAGACTATTTTTCATCTTTTTCTTAAAAATATGAACCTAGATCTTTCCAAAGGTTTTAATGAATTCCTCCTGCAGCTGGCTTCAATGCCAGGAGGCTTCTGAGGACTCACAAGGCTTTTGGAGCACAGGTTCAACACCGAAGGTTTCTAAAGCAAACACAACTGCTCTTTCACAAGGACATGGACTGGGGAGGAGGACCAGGGCAGTGCTTCACGGCCCATCCCAGCAGGATGTGAGCCAGGCGGCCACTCGGGTGGATTTCCAACACAAAGTCAGATGCAAGGGTGTCTTTCTTTACATCCACTCAGCCTTGCAGACCCTCAGCTGTTATCCTACACAAGAGTTGCTCTTTGAGATCACACAGTAATGACAGGAGCTATTTCCTCCATACACTGTTCCTCACAGGCTGGGAGTGGGTCTGAATAATCTTTAGGGCCTAGCTCCTAGGCCAGGCACACAGTAGGTGCTCAGAAATGTGGTACCTGGCACTGACTTGTAGAGAGGCTACTGCAAAGTTCAGTTTTGGAAGGGGAGGAGGGTGGAAAGCCCAGTGGCCCATGCATGTGGACTTGGCCAAGGATAGCCCACAGGCTGTGACGGCCAGCCAAGTGAGGCTAAGCTATAGACGGGAGTGTCAAGGCTGTATGTCATCAGCACAGTGAGGCTTACAAGTGATTTTGTGCCCAGGGAAGTATAAGCAGTGCATTTACAGGAAGTGATTTAGATGCCCTGGCACAGAGTATGCAATGAGGAGAGCTCAAGAAAGCCAAAGAATCCCCTCATCCAAAGCCCTCATGTGAAAGGGGGAGAAATTAAGGTCCAGAGCGAAGAATGGACTTGCCCCGATCACGGAGCCACTGATCTGCATTTCGGACTAGAACCCAGGTGACCCACACCCCAGCCAGTGCTCCTACCCACTCACCAGCCTGCCTGCCAGGCCTGAGCTGCTGCTGGCCATTTGCCGATGACAGTGGTCGCGTCCGCAGAGGGCAACCAAATGCTGCAAATGATTTTCCTGAGCCTCATGCAGCATCCTACTAAATTTTACTCTGTTGGTTTCATGAGCTCAGAAGATCCTCTTGGATCTTGACTTGGTCATCCACTGTGTCACTAACAGTCCCAGCCCCAAGATGAACAGCAATGTTCTCTCTTTAGTCAAGTAATCGACAAACATCTGAACTTAACACAGGGCCAATGAACCTCCTTGTAGGGAGGTTTCAAGACTTCAAGATTTTCCCTTGAAACGTTCCTTGGCTACTCTGTGCAGAGTCCTGTGCTAACCACTAGAGGGAAACAACGTTAACAGCCACACACAAGGATCTGCGAGGCACAGAGTGGTTTCTGCTTTGATTTCAGGGACATCATGGCAGGAGATGCTCCTGATGACCCAGTGGGAGGCCGTGCTTCCCTCCCCATTAAACAGATCATGGACCTGGGACTGACGGAGGGACCTGCCCACTGTCGCTCAGCTGGTAACTCAGAGGCTGGGCTCTGAGCACAGCCCACACTGTACACTTACTACACCACACGCCCAGGCGACGTGTGCAAAAGCTAATGATGGCAGAAAGAAAAAGAAATAAGGGACTTGTCTTTTAAGTCCCTGGCTCATATTTTATATTTTGTAAAAAAGACAGAGTATGTCACAGGAACTCAAATGCGTGGCATTTCAAGCTATTCCTCCACCTCCCACTTGAGCTTCTAGGCTCTTCTCAGGGTCCTCACTTGGAGGCTTCTCCAGACTCTGTCCTCTCTGCCCCAGGCAGGATGCAGCACACCCTCTGTGCTCAGCCTCAGGGCCAGCATCACCCAGTCTGCCCTGCCTTCCCAGGAGGCTGCGGGCCCCCTGGCGTAGAGCAGCGGGCTGCCTGTCTGTGCACAGCGAGCCTCGTGTAGCACCCACGTGTGCCACAGACTCAGAGGGCATTATGGAGTAAATATATACTTCTAAAAACATTATTCTTTGAGCCTCATACACTCCTGACAGGAGCCAGTGATCTTCCACCGTCGACTTTTCAGGTGTCTCATGCACAGATCACTTTATTTGTCTTATCCAGTAGGAAAATGTGCCTTTGGCCCGCTGATTCACTGCTTATTGGTAGGTAAGGCTTGTCTTCATAATAGACACCCATCTTGGAACGATGTTGCAAGACGTACCAGACAAAATGTAGGCATTCCCTTTGATCCAGCAATTTCATATCTAAAAATTAACGCTACAGAACTGTATACACAGAGTATGGAAAAATGTATTTACTGAGGGTGGAGGAATGAAGAACTTATCCTTAAAATGGCTTACATGACACGCATGATATTATTTAGCAGGACCATCAAGCTGCTATTTCCACTGAAGCTTGTCTGCACTTTTTAGATGCTAACAACTTTCTTTAGCACCAACCCATTAGTCCCTTGCAGAGTGGAACCTGACGACTGAAGCTTAAAATAAGATGTTTTTCTATTCTTAAATTTTACTCTAAATAGAATTTGTTTGTAATAGGCAGTACTTTCTCAAAGTTTTCTACCGGACACACGCAGACACGCAGTGATAGTTACCACTGGCCATGTGCCAAGCACCATTCTAAGGCTCATTTCTGCATTAACCCGTTCCAGCTTCACTGCAACGCTATGAGGCTGGTACTGTGGGCATCCCCACCTGACGGCTGAAGAAGCTGAGGCCTGGAGGGGCTCAAGGTCATGCAGGTGCAAGTAGAAGGAGCAAAACTCAGGTAATATGGCCTGTCTGTGCTCTCACAGACTCGGTTAACAGCCACTGTCCAGCTGTGAAACGCTCGTAGTTGTAGGTCACCTTCACACACACTATTTGACCGAGGAGTCATATTGCAAATTGTCACAATCACCTTCATCACCTCCATCTTCACGGTGAAAAAAATCGAGATTCACATAAGTGATGAACACAGACGCTGGGATTTAAATCAAGCCGGACTGCGTCCTGCATCTTTTCGGGTATTCCTGTCCCGAGAACCTAAAGCTCCAGTGGTGAATACCCTCTGAGGTGTGGGAAAGCGTGGTCTCCCCAGCTGACCAGCCCGGCAGACACGGAGTCCCTGAGGTGGAGAGTGCAATACGAACAGAGCTGCCTGGTGACGTGCCACTTTCCACACGGAGGTGACATGGCCGGGTCTGCCCCAGAGGTCCCGTAGGGAAAGGCGGACTTGCACACCCGCCCCGGCCCACCTCTGCAGCCTCTTCCCGGTTTCCCATTGGGGAGAAGGAGGTGCAGGCTACACAGACACTAACACTGGGTCTTGTCTCACTGGTGAGCAGGGTCACTGTTAAAAGCCCTCCACTTCCTGGTGTTACGCAGGTCGGCAGGTAAGCTGCAGGCCCAGCCACCTTGCTCTTGGCCTCTCCCATTTCTATTCTTTGCTGCTGGGGGAGCAGGCAGACTTCAGGCCACCTCAGGAGTCCCCATCAGCCTTCTCTTGCTACCCTGCCTCTTCTGAGACCACAGTAGGGTGTGCGGTTCAGCCAGCACCTGCTCTATGCCTGGGCCATCTTGCTCTCTCAACTCTCTTACCATGTGGTCAGCCAAGAAGGTAGCAGGCCTAGGTGGTGTGGGGCTTAGGAGAAAGTAGAGGGCCCTTCTTAAGTCCTGAGCTGCCACACAGCTCCGCACAAGCTTTCTGTCGGCGTCCTGTGCTGGCCCCACACAGCAAACTAACCATAAAGCCCTACTTCACCGTCCACGGAGTGGGGGGGGGTGCTTTTCACCATGTGCAGCAGCACCTACCACAGGGCTGTCACGGAACAGGCTCAGTGAAGTCCTGCTGACTGAATGAGGAGACAGGTGCTGCAGCTCAAACAGGCCTTGCTGGAAAAGTCCTTCTGAACTGCCTACCCAGAATGGCCGCCACTGGTCACACGCGGCCCCTGAGCACTGGAAATGCGGCGCTCCACACTGAGATGCGCTGGCAGTGTGAGACCTGACTGGTCTCCAGAGAGGTGGCACAACCAAAGTAAAATATCTAATTCATCACTTTCTTACCCTATTACGTAGTAAAATGACAGTATTTTGGAAATATTGGGTTAAAGCATATTAAAACTAATCTTAATCTGTTTCATTTTATTTTTTTAATATGGCTACTAGAAAATTTAAAATTACCATGTGCCCTGGCTGGTGTAGCTCAGTGGATTGAGTGCTGGCCCACAAAACAAAGGGTCACTGGTTCGATTCCCAGTCAGGGCACATGATTGGGTTACAGGCCAGGTCCCCAGCTGGGGGTGCGTGTGAGGACAACCACACATCGATGTTTCTCTCCCTCTCTTTCTCCCTCCTTTCCCCTCTGTCTAAAAATAAATAAAATCTTTAAAATTACACATGCAACTCATACACATTTCTACTGGGCAGTACTGCTATTGAATAAAATATATATAACCCATTAGCTCTATGGAAACTCTAAAAATAAATTCCTAAGATCCCAGCGGTGTTCAGAGTGGCATCAAACAAGTAGCAGGAATGTCCTCCAGCAAATTCCATAACTCAGGCGGGTCTTGGTCTCCGAGTCTGCATGAAGTGACTGACTGGTGGGAATGTCTGTCCCATGGGGCTGTTCCGGGGACCAAGCACAGGCTGTGAGCCAAGCCTCTGGCAAACGTAACGCGCAATGGGGTCTTCTGTTCCATGTGCTCCCCTGGGAGAAACCTCACACCACAGCCCACCCCCTTTTTCCTTTCACTGCCTTCCCTAATCAATACCCCCGAGCCGGAAGAGAGTGTGAGTCGGGGTCCGAGTGGAACTCTCTGGACAACAGGGGCCCTTGGGGAGAGGGGCAGGGACACGGTCAAACCGGAGAAGCCAGCAATCTGTCCCCGCATGAAGCACTCCCGCGGCGACTTACATTGTACTGCATAGGAGGCTAGGACCACTGCCGAGTTCAGCGGGCAGGTCAACCTGTCAGGAGAAAAACACGTTAGGAAAAAGGCACAGGAGCCTGGAACACTCATGGACCGCCTGTCTTTTCTTTCTGGAGTTAACCTCTAAAACACACCGTGCATCACGATGAAAATAGGTTTATGATACAACTAATATCAGGCAGTAAAGACAAATGCTACAGTAAAGATTTCTAAAAATTAAAGCTTTTTCATGTTTAAAGTAGTACACATTAATACATACACCCTGAAGGCCACAGCAGGCGAGGGTTCGGGCTGGTCGAGAAAGGCCAGGCTCACACCACTCGGAGGAGATGTGAGAAAACTGAGCCCCTGGATCGCGGGGCAACTGTCTATCTTTCCAGTAAAGACATGAAATGTCACAGGGCTCTCCGCTGACACCCCCGCCGTCTACTGACGCTAGAATTCTGGACCACCCACTCTGGAAGGGTGGCACCCTCTTAAATGGGGAAAAATAGAAACGCATGATGAATTTTAAAACTCCAGTGAGTTTTAAATTATCTTGTTGAATGAGTTATAGTTATTTAAGATCCCCAGATCTTTCTATTCCGAAGCTTCCAATCTGTAGGGAATGGGCTGCCCACCCCTCGGTTTTCCTGCCACCTACAGGGACCCACAGACTCTAGGCTGGACTTGCTCTTCTGCCCCCTTCAGCTCCTGCCCTCCCGTACACCCCCATCTCCGCCAGTGCTTTCACCTCTGTCCTGGTCACACCTCAAACCCTCTGAGTGCTCCCTTTTCTCCGATCCACCTGGGGCTCCGTGGTCTCCTCGGAGCCAGGCCAGCAGACCTGGGGCAGGGATCACTGCCCGGTGGAGGGGGGCGCTGGGGAGGGCTGAACCCTGCAGCAGGGGTGAGGGCCTGCAGTGTGGGGAGACAGATTTTAAAAGCATTCTTCCCAGCAACCCCATGGGAAGTGGAGAAAACATGCGGTTTCCATGGCAGCCCTTGAAGATGTGAGTCATGGCCACCTCTCTGACTAATCCGGCTGGCTCGCCAGGGTCCCCTTCCCGTCCCTGCCCTGTGTACTGGGCCCTGTAGCCACATGGAAAGGTGGCCTTCCCTCTCTGGTACCAACTGGAACTCCTAAGTGCTTGCTCCATGGCTGGAGATACATCCGGGGATATTCATTGTCTCTTCGTTTGTCTGGGGACCCTGAGAGTCCGTGGGAGAGTGAACATCAGCCATTTGCTCTCCTACCGAGATGGGCTCCAGTGAAACCTAAGCCAGGGTCCTTGCGACAGGAAGAGCAGCTGAATGGGATTTGGGGAACAACTTAGGAGAGAGGCTAAGGGGGTTCAGTCTAGATAGAAGAAGCAGTCCTATGATTAAGTCAGAAAGGAAAACACTTCCAAAGAATAGTGTACACACCAGCTAAAGAACACTGCAAGCCTGCATCCTACCCTCAGCTGGGCCACCGATGGAGGACATCCCTTCAACAGACGTCAGCCCACACTGTGTCTCCTTTTCCTAAAACCTATGAACACTGTGGTCTCCACTGCCCGTATCGGTCCTAACTGCTTCACGGACTCTTGTCTCCCTGCCTCCACCAGCCTGCAAGCCCCACTGTGGAAGCACAGCACAGGCTTCCGAAGACCCAGCTCGGAGAACTAAACTGATGGGAGGAAAGGGGAGGAGGAGAACGGGAATGAGGTGCGGCTGCCCCCACCAGTTTCCCTGCGTGCTTCCTCCCACAGGTCAAGAAAAGACTCAGGCCTGGGAGGAGGCAGCTCAGGGACCACTGGCTTGGCATCTCGGCTCCCTGCCTGAGTTATGTGAGGACTACTTTCCAGCCACGGAGGCGGCCCCGACACACAAGAAGTGGTGAATCACGGGCAGCGCTCCTGTGTTTGAGCGGAAAAGTGTCCCAGGGAGGAGACGGACCATCCCCAGGTACTGAGGGGCTCTGAAGGGGACCTGACTGAGGCCTGATCTGCCTCCCTGAAGGAAGTCCATTTTACATTTGGGGTCCCTCCCTCCCTTTAAAATTTCTCAGGTCTTTACCAGAAAGATAACTGTACCTTTTGTAATAGAACTGAAATAACACAAAACAAATTGTATGGGTCCTTAGCCTCTCCACACCAGGACTGAGTTTGGATGGATGTCCAAAGCATAATATTACACAGGATGCTGCTTTCAACATCCACTCTCTGTTCACACTGGGTGCTGCTGCCAGCAATGCACGCTCATTTGATTGGAACCAGCGGTTCTGCTAGGCTGGCAACTGACAGGGAAAGAAGAATGCAAAATGCTCATTACCTTCCTTCGCAAATATCCATCTTCAGTTGTAAGAAATACAAATGCCTACGAAACAATTATTCTCATTAATTCCTCATGCTCAAATTGAAATATGACTTGTACATTCGATAAACAAAATACACAAAGGCACATTTTTTTTTGTCTAAAGCATCAGGTACCGTTTTGCACATTTCAAGGCCACCCCTTCAGCAATGAGGGCTCGCGTGGCTGCCTCGGTGTTGATTGGTGGGGGCAGTTTCCCAGCAGCCTCATGTCAGGCCATGCCATCCTCGGGGTGGCTGGGCAGGGATGGACGGGGTGGACATAGCCCATCAAGGCTCAGCTGGTCAGTGAGCACCCCACCTTCAGCCTGGACCTCCCCCATCAAATTTGGGGGATCTGAGAGCACCAGCACCTATGACGTTCTGCACAGGCAGCCCCCGCACGCTTGAAGAGCTGCTGTTCTGAACGTGGCATCTGCACACCCACGTACCCTCTGCATGAAGTGGCTGAGGGGAGGAGGGTCTGTGAAGGCATCTCCTTGGTGGGGAAGCAAACACCCAGCTGGGTTTTTCCTCGTGTCCCAGGAACTGTGGGTGTTTCAGCACCAGTGCGACAGGCGCCAAGAGGCTGCCAAGACCTCCAAGCTGGATTCCGCACTTCCTTGTAAGCACGGTCGCTTCAAAAACCCAGGACCTGAGTTGTGGGCGGAGCTCGGGAAGGTGGCACAGGTGCCCCATCATCCTGCGAGTCTGCCCTCCACCCAAGTAACAGGGCGCAGCGGCCCCTGCAATGCTGTGCAGGCTGGGATGGGCCCGGGAGAGCATTAAATTTAGGGATGTGGCATACCCGTGGCACTCGGCCGCGAGCTCCCACTGTTTTTTAAAGCCTGGACTCAAGTGGGATAGACATTCCAGTGTCTGGCCAGGAGGACAAAAGTGAAACTTCTTAAAATACAATTTACAGGCCAGGGAGAGAGAATTCTGGCAATGTAAACAGATTATGCTCATTCTTCCTTGAAATTTATGTTTAAAGGTTAAGGTGCTGGTGTTCTGAGAACGGCATCGCGGCTTCCTATTTGCACAGCTCTGGGCCGTGCGCACGGTGTTTTATAACTTACTGTCTCACTTCAGCCTCCTAATAATAGCTCTGCCAGGCAGGCACCACTACCTCCGTTTTTTCACAGATGAGGAAACCGATGTTCAGAGAGGCTACGTGGGATCAGTTATATCTTATCTTAACCTGGACACTTACGCTACGAAAAAATACCTGGCTATGCCACAAACTTATTACGCATCTGATGACGAAACACTTGGGGCCCACTTCCTAACTCTGATACTGCTACTTTGACTCTAATTACCATCGGCCGGCTACCCTGCACGGGCTGAAGGCCAGCACTGGGAGACGGTACAACAGAGACATGCTGACTGGCGCTTATCCCATGTTGGGAGCTCTGCCTTGTCCACCTAGAGAACATAATCAGTCCTTTCTAGTTTGTTGCTATGTTTATCCAAGCTGACATTCAACCAGAATTAAGTGTTCTCTCCTCCCACCATGCTATTGAGAGAAAGAAGAGAAGGGGGAGAATTAGAGATAATCCGATGGTAAATCTGGGCTTTCGCTGATGAGCCTGGCTAATCAGGGTATCTTCCTAGGGATATAAATGAGAACATGAACCTGGACATCACCATTCATCAAATGCTACCTTGCCACGTATTTGGCAAAGCTGTTTTTTGGACTGATTTTATAATCTGAATTTTTTCATTGTGGTGAAATATACACAATGTACCGTGTACCATTTTAACTGCTCTAAAGTGCACCACTCGGTGGCGTCCGGTACGTTCTCACTGCTGTGCATCTTCGGCAAACCTGCCGCGCCAGCCCCGTGACCTCGTCAGGAGCAGGTCAGAAGGGTGGGATGGGACCCAAACCTAGCAGACTCCTGGACGGGTCACAGGAGCCTAATTCCGAGTCTGCCAGGAAACAAAATTCTGTTTACAAAGATCTAAATTTATCAGAAACAGCAGTTGGGAAGGCTCACCAGCAAGGAGACGTTTATTTGGCAACGAGAATAAAGGAAAGACATTTAGAAGAGGGGCTCGGCGTGCCTGTTCTCAGAACCGCCGTGACCACTCCCGGGCTGTACCCCACCTGTGAGCTCAACTTCAGAAAAAGCAGCAAACACGCCCCTGCCCGGGTCCCTGAAACAACCAGTACTACCACTCTACCCCTTCCTGGATGCTTCAAGAGCTGATTTCTAGAAGGGAACTGAACTTCTGTACAAGCTACAGAGTGGGGGCTTCCTAAAATACTATGTGGCAGGAACACAGGTAAGACTCTTCATTTAAGTAAAAACAAGCAAACGACACACACACACACACACACACACACACACACACAAATTAATGTAACACGTCAATGGCAGAAGCCTGGCCCAGCTCTGTAGGAGACACAGGGGTGTGGCTGCTGCCCCGGTTCCTTGCTGCACTGAAGAGAAACCTGGTGCCCAAACCCCAGGAGGTGACAGCTATACTCTACACCACCCTGTGGATACCACCGATCTTAAGAAGGGGGGCGGGGTGGTGGGGCTGGGTGTCCGTCCTGTAGAAATGAATTTTAGGAGGAACACATGGACAAACTAAAGTTTATATGGGACTTGGGTAAAAACAAAAGTTGACAATTCCTCATCTAGAGCCAACACCTGCCCCTCTGCAGCCTCCGCCCACTGGCCGTAACTCCACCACCAAGCACGTGCACTTCCCCCTCTCCCACGAGTGCCGCTGGCAGCTCTGAAGGAAGCCTTCGCTTCTCCCGGGCCTTCCCTCAGTCCCGAACTCCCCACATCTCCCTCTCCTACCAGGGAGGCTGACCAGGAGGATTCCCTCGGCTCCCAAAGGCAGGGAGCGTCTTCCCCACGGCTACGGAAGTGAAACGGGGGTGCTGGAGAGGGACGTGTGCCCTGGGCCCCATCTCTCTCTCTGGAGAGCACTGCAGGGACGGGGATGGGGTGAGGGGCAGCAACCACCAGTGTAGACAGCACAGTCGCACTTGGGGTTGGAACCCACTGCTGGGTGGTGAAATCAATTTCATGGGCCACAACTGGCATTTTAAGAGGAAAAAGAACAATGGGAAACTTTAGGGTACTTTTGCATTTACTATTGTTTTATGAAAAGTTTGATTCAGTACCTGTGTAATGAATCAAAATACACTTTTACTGTGGGGTTGTGATTAAAAGACTCACCGTACACATGTATATTATATGTATTTTATGTGTATCTATATTCATATATTTATGTGTATCCCATCATACCATTATTAAAGCAGCCCTTGAATAGAACTCAGTATTTAGCAATGGCTTGGAGTCATTTCAAACACATATTCTTACAGATAACATCACCACTCTGTGGACTGACCATCACTTATGAACTGACCTGCTGGGCAGAGCATCTCCACACTACCCCTCAGTCCAGCAGAGCACAAGACCACCAAGGGAGAAAACTGGAACCACCGCATGCGCTGCACAGTCACCCACTGAGGGGGACGGACCTCTCTCACACTGGCTTAAAGTCTAACCTCACGGCACACACAGCCAAACCCCCAGTGTCTGCTGCTGTAGAGAAAAGAGGTGCTCGAGGAAGGCAACACAGTAACAGACTAATATTTGGCCTTTAAACATACTGCAAGTTAACATGTGATCATGTGGCTACCATTAAAAAAAGAAAGGAGGAAGAAAAACAAGACAGCATTCTAAGTCTGGCGGCAGGCTCATAGCCACCGTGAGCGCAGAACCGATTCAATATCCCTGAAAGTCCATTCACTGCGCTTCCTGGTGGAAGAGCTCCCCCCACCCCACCCAAGAAAAAAGTATCAAGAACAAAAGGACCGAACGCTGCTGTGGCAGACAGCAGAGGCGTGGCTGAGTTTGCACGGTGCCTGTTGGAACAGCACAGCCACAGCTCTCCCGTGCCCGCCCCCTCCATTCCAAACACTGCTCCCCACCCAGGAAACCCACCTGTGCCAGCACAAAGCTTCCGCCAAACGCCAAGCCCGGAGGGGTAAACAACTCCTATCACAGCCCTCTTTCCCTTATCTGGTTCACAGATGGCCTGCCCTGGCTGGCTGAGTCACTGAGGAGAGAACGGGCCCGCAAGCTCTCCTCTCCAGCTCCTACCAAGCGGTGTCTGACAGAGAATTCTTAGCTTCGAGACCTCCTGTGACCCTGAAGAGCCTCAATCCTAGCCCTGCAGAGACACCATGGTACATGATGATCCACAGAGGACTGTCTCACAAGCTTCTCTTCTAAACCCTGCCTGCATCAGGAGAAAGGAACTTTGTTCTCCGAACACAGGGGCACCAGAGGGGGGTGGGGTGGGGATGGGGGCGGGGGAAGGCAGGAGGCTGCAGATGGGTGGGGGGCGCTGGGATTTTAGAGAAGCAGGCCCGAGACTGAACACGAATTAGCCAATTAAACTTCCAATCTGTGTACCCCAATTTTTACTTGGATCACAATTATTGGTGCAGTTATACCCAAATGAAGGATTTGGCCCCAGTGATAAAATACAGAGTACAGTTTCAGTGATTACTCATTATATACTAAATAGAAAACTTAAAAAAAATGGATTACCTGGTTTGTTCTTGCTGCAGTGTGTTGGGATCAGGTATAAAAAATCTTACTCGAAAATGCAGGGTACAGGGGAAACCTCCTACAACATTTTTTAAAAACAAATTAAATTTTCCCGTAAAAAAAGTCAAGGTATGTAAGCTGCTACTCTCCCATAAGTGATGCATTTTTCACTAGATCATAGCTTTTCCATCAATAAAAGCATTAATTTCAAAAAAAGGAGTACATAAGTTAAGTGACTGTCCAGAAATCTCCATGTCTACAAGAAGTAAAATATTTCTGTAACATCAGCATTGAACGAGGCATTATCTACTTTCTGCTACATGTTTAACTTAGGGCTGTTCAAGCAGTCCGCTCCATTACCAGTTTTAGGAATTTTAAAACTTCTTAAATCAGCAAACTTCACAAAATTCACAAAGAAATGCTATGTCCCATATATAGCGACTGTGTACTTTTCACACATTTCCACGTGCATTCCTGACTTTACCACCACCACGACTGTGAACAGGCGAGGCTACTACTGATACCAGCCTTTTACAGAGCAGCCAACTAACTAACAGACCTAGAGGTGTGACCTGCTTTAGGTCACACAGCTGATCCCCAAATTGGAGCACTGGGGTTTCTGATTCTGCTAGACCATGTTTCAAAACATTTTTATACTGGAAAAGGTCACGCTTTGAATGCAAAGTGAGTTAATATACTAGCAAATATCATATAATTAACAGACTAAGAGATGGCTTTATGTAACGATACCAAGAGTCAGTTGGCCTGCATGGACAAAATGAGCCCATTTCTTTCGCCAGGCAGAGCAATGGGAGAGCATCAGACTGGGTTGCTAAGATCTGTGCTCTGCGCGATGCCAGCGTGGCCCCTCTCCGTTCCTCAATGAACACCCGTTGGCCCTATCCAAGTGCTCGGCACGCGCTCGCTCTCTGAAACCCAAGTCTTCTCCAACAGGCTCTTCTCACCGTCTCCTCTACCTTAGTTCATTCCTGCCCCAACCTTCCCTCTCTTTAGTGCATCTCTCTTGTATCTCTGCCTTGTGTCAAAGACTTTAATTGGTGTGTGCGCACCTATAAATGTACCTCTGTGCAGACGCCTGGTTCCAGAGTGGGTGGTGCTGTCACTCTGGGTGCAGGCTGACCAGCTGCACGTCAGGGGATAGCTAAGTCCCCCCACTGCCTTGGGTGCCCTTTCAGCTCCCTTCCCTACCTCTGTAAGCTGTCACTGCACGTCCCAGACAGGCCCCCAAGTCTGCCTTGTCCTCCTCTGTGCACCCAGAGCATCCTATTCTATGCTCAGAACTATCCTCCAACGGTCTTGTCAGCAGGTCAGCCAGGTTCGTCTGGGGCACAAGGCACATAGAGAGGACCAGAGTGCCACGTTGAAAGCCCATATGCCTGGGAGTTAACCTGCACTGGCACCCGCTCCTGGTTGATGAACTGTGTGTTATATCTGTGACATCACCTGCTTATGCCTTGAGCTCCAGTGCCTGGAACTATGCTGTTGGGAAGGGCTAGAGGTATGTGTATGTGTGTGTCTTTCCTAGCCTGCCCCTAACAACTGGGCTAAGAAAGGCCATCCTCCTTCCTTTGTAAAAAGAGTGTGGGTTCCCTGGCTCTTGGCTGCCTGCTTTCACCTTTCTGTCTTGTTCACAGCTGGGGAGGACCCCTGGGGGCTGGTCTGGAAGCATCTCTGCTCACTCAGAAGTCAGGGAGAAGTCAGCTCACTCACATCGCCTGGACCACCTGGAATCCAGGTACCAGATGTGATAGGTACCCTTTTGACTGGAGGAGGGAACTGGGTCATGATACACTAACACCAAGTGTTCAAGCAAAATGAGGTCACACTCACCTTTTAACTGCTTCCTAATGGGTTTACTTGATTCCAACCATCTCTGCTGGGTAAGAAAACATAAGATATAAAACCAAACCATGCAGAAGTCCAGCACATTCCAAAGGGATGGTACTCACGGGAGAGTCCACCGATTCATCGCCATGCTGCAAACCGAAATACTCCTTTTCAGTCACGCACAAGTGGTTGAATGCCATATCCAGAAGAACTTGACCGGTGTCTTGTTTCTAGAATAAAAAATGCCGGGTGGGCAAAATTTTAAAATAAATTACGAACTGGTGGTTAACAAATTGTTATTGTAAGGGAATAGGAGCAAGAACATTCAGAGAGATTTTGTGTGCACACACATCCCACAATAAGAAATGCTTCCATGAACTTCAAGTTCAGAGGCTACACCGCACCTGCGAGAAGCAGAGCTAAGAAAAACGACACAAATACAACTTGAGACAGTACAGTTTAATTTTGTAAGAATTCTTCCCCTCAGCCAAGATGCCCAAGTGATGACGACTGAACTGGAAAACTCGGCGATCGCGGGAGAGCAAAGGCCCCATGACCCACCCATGGGTTCTCCCAGCACAACGCTAATCCCACAGGGCTGCCTTGGCTCCCCAGGGGGCGTGGCCCTGTGCTTGGGAAGAAGCAGCTCTCTGCTCATCACCTGAAGGAAGAGGCTGAGAATAGTCAAATGCCACCCAAAATACCCTCTAAGGGATTTGGCATGTGACATGCTGGGGGATTCTCTGCCTCACGGCTCCTCATCATCTGAAGTGAGAAGCCGGTGGGGACGTTCAACCCCACTTCACATCCAGAGCAGTGCACGGCCCCCTTCAGCACTCGGAGTCGATGGAGCAGCAGGCACGATGCTGAGCACGGGGACAAAGCCACAGCAAGTGTCCTTTTCCTGCCCTCCCAGAGAGGCCAGCCGCGGAAGCAGCCACTGTCACATGGTGTGTCAAACGCTGTCAAGTGCCGAGACACACTCAGGGCAGGGTGAACACACAAAAGGACAACACAGACGTTCAACTCAGTCTCGGGTGGAGCAAAAACAACCCCAACCAGGGTCTGCGAGGTCACAGGGCTGAGTGACACCCTTCCCTCCAGGTACAGGAGCCAAGAAAAGCTCTTTCAGGCGGGCAGCCCGGCAGCACAAAGGCTCAAGGTTGGGAGACAGCGGGGGATGTTCGGAAAACAGCAAATTCTACTTCAATGGGCTGATCTCTCAGGAATCCTTTGAGCCAAACCATTGAACTTCAGGACAATGAGTCAGAAATAGACCGGATAGAGAACCAAAGGCAGCTCTTTTGAGTGCAGATAATGTACCTGAAAAATAGGTCGCAGTGGCCAGGAGGAGGACATTAGGTAACTGGCAGGCCTCTTCTTTGGCACAGTCTCATGTCATGGGACCTGAACAGTGGGAACATGAGACACGCCCATTTCCTGAACACATCCCCTTTTCCTGCCCGAGGGCCCTGTCCCTGCCACCTCCGTCCTCTGCCTGGGACATCTCCATCACAAGGGAATCGTGATGCTGTGGAAAAAATGACTGGCACATGTGCTGAATTATGAGATATTCTCTCCCCCTAAATTATGAGATACTCTCTCAATGCATCCAAGAGCTGCCTGCTTCCTTGGTTGAAACTGTTATTTCTATGACTCTCTATTTTACATTACTAACAATTATAATCCACTGAACATCTACAAGGAGCCAGACATGCTACTACTACACACACTTTTCATATAGCCTGTCTCGTCTTTGCAGCAACTCTGCCAAATTGTCATCAGCATCCCCTGGGCTGACAAGCAGAGGCCCCGGGAAACTCTGTGTCCGGTGCGGTCGGCTGGTGGATAAATGGTCTGACTGCCCGACTCAGGCCCACGTGATACCGAAGCCGCATGTGCCCATGAGTCTGCCTCTCTCCTTTCTGGAGTGCACGGCTCATCCAGTCCAGTAACTGCTCTGCACAGCTCGCCCAATTCTCAAAAGAAACTGAAATATAATAAAGGACCCATTTATAATCAGGACAAGGCTCCCAGCCCAGTCCCCATCCCACGACAGGTCATCTTTGTTATACCAGGTCACCGTCGGTGTCCGGCTTGCTCCCTAGGCTTGGCAAAGGACAGCTGACAGCCAGGTCAGTGTCCCCGACGATGCCCACTCCTGGGCAAAACACGGTCCAGGCTGAGGAGTCTGCATGAGGCAGCACGAACAATCCCCACGGGGAGAAAAATGTAGAGCACTGTAGAGTCTAGGCTACCACCAGGCCCTCAAATTCAAGTTCAAGGTGAGTAAGCTTTGAGCAGGCTGCTGGAAGCTTGGGGAAGCAGCACTGGCAGCAGCGTGACGATAACAAGGGCATCCACGACTCGGAATGACTGGGCACCCTCGGGAGGCCTGGCTCTGCTCTGGGCGGGTGCTTTCCCTGTCCCCGTCCACAGGGCTGATTGCTTCTCCTCAAACACCTGCTTCCCTGGGACCCACAGGCTCTTGGCCTCCTCCTCCCTCCCTGGACAGTCCTGTCTCCTTTAGTGCTCCTTCCTCATCTCGCCAACTTCCGAACATCGAACCCCCGTCGTATCGCCTGTTGGCTCACTTCTCAGGGCATCCCATCCAGTTTCATAGCTTCAGGTACCATCTCCGCCCTGGTGACACCCGCATACGTATCCCAGCCTGGACCCTGCTCTTACAACTCCCGACTAGTGTCTGTATCTACCACACCCATGTCCATACAGTCCCTTGTTGATGAGCAACAAGCATCTCAAACGCAACAGTTCTGGTTACAACAGGACTGGCTACCCTGGCTGCTCTCACAGCCCTTCTCATCTCTTTCGATTGCCACTCCGTCCTACTGACTGCTCAGGCCAAAAATCTTAGAGTCACCCTGAGGTTTCCCCTACATTCCAAATCCTAGCTATCAGCAAGTCCCCTCGTCTCCACCTTCAAAATATTTCCGGACTTGGTTCACTCAGTCCCCTGCACTCTACCTCGCTGTCCAATGACCATCTCTCCCTCCAACTGTTCTGACGGCCTCTCAGTCCTTGGCCCCAGTGCGCTGTCGACAGAGCACCCAGAGCGACACTGAGTCAGCTCACGCTGAGTCTCTGCCCAAACTGACCAGTGCTTTCCGCCTCCCCCAGAATAAACCCAGTGCCGCAGAACTCCCCACTGCAACACCTGCTACCTCTCTGACCTCTCTCGCCACTCTCCTCTTTACTCATTCTGTGACTGACGCATTTACTTCCACATACTGGGCTGTGACGCACTGACCAGGATTCTGCCTCAGGGCCTTTGCACTGCTGTTTCTTTTCCCTGGAATGCACTTCCCCCAGGGAGCATGGGATTCGTCCCCTCACTTCCTCTAGGTGAGGTCTTCCCTGACCACTTCTGCAAAGTGACAACCCCACCCCCTTGTCCCTCCTTGGCACTCGCCACCCGCTAAGCACATAATACCACCACCAGGGTACACGTTTGTTTACGGTCCATTTCCTTCACAGGATTTGGTTTGCTGTTCCGTTCACTGCTGTGTCCTCTGTATCTGAAGCAAAGCCTGGCACAGAGGTGCTCAGTAAACATCTGTTAAATGAGCATTCCTGTTCTCATCAGGAAGAAGACACACGACCGAGAAGGAGCTCCAGATTGACAGCACACATTTTAACAGGGAGGCAGACAGAAATTAAGCTGTCAGTATACAGCAACTAGAAGAGATACACGTGACCTGTGCAGAGCTGGTTCAACCACAAAATTCTACAGATGATGATGTTAAAAGGAACTAGAACGTAGGAGAAAGTTCAGTGAGCCAAAGCAGCTGCTTTCTGAGGAAGTGTGTATGACCTTGACGGAGGCCTCTGCATCAGTGGTCTTCCAAACTGCAACGTGCATGACGCTTGCTTGGCAGGCAGTCAGGATGCAGATGCTCAGGCCCCAGCGCCAGAGAGCACCCGAGGGGCTCCAGTGTGCTCTAAAAAATACTCACAAGGGCTGCACTACCCCAAGTACAAGAAAACTACTCACATTCTAATTTATTAAAATAACTTTAGTTCATCGGGGATTCTGGCCACATTCCCAGTGCTGAACAGCCACACTTGGCCGGTGGCACCAGTGTGGGCCAGCGTGGATCCGGACCACTTCCCAGCACTGCAGAAAGTCCTCCTGGGCAGCGCTGCCCTACAGAATGGTTTTTCTACAAACTGGCCTAGTAAACATGCCACAGGTGTGTGTCCTAAGCCCCTAATTTGGTCCTAGAGACAACGAACTGGACAATGGCACGCCCTTGCTGGGGTGTGTCTTTCTACTGCAATAATGTCCCCCACCTGCCAGAGATGGAGGCCCTGCGCCTGGGTGCCGGCAGAGCGGATGGGGGAGGCGGGCAGAGGCTGGGGAATGCCTATCTCTCCTGTCCATTTCCACTCCCTGCCAGGTGAGGGGCCCAAATCCCCAAGTCCTTAGTCATCGGCCTGCGTCTTATCCCCTAAAGGGAGATGAGGCAGCAGTCCTGACCTTGGACTAGGAGGGGGATCAGCACCCACCATGCTGGATTTCACGGAAACCGCCCTCTCCCCGTTCCCGCTCAGCCTCCAAGGGCCACCGTGGCAGGTGCAGCAGCAGGCAAACTTCTCGGGGGGCAGGAGACACGGGGGTCAGTCTCTGTTACCCTTTAAGGTCTTACGGCCTTTTATCGCCCTCTAGGTATTCTCGTCCCCCACCTTCTCTCTCTGATACCTTTCCTTACACATTGAACTTTCCAGGCTGGGGCAGGGAGGGGACTGGGCCCTTTGGGACTGGCCGGAGGATGGGAGAGGCAGGCAAAGGTCATCAGCTACATGGTGAGTGGGGAGGGGCGGGGCGGGGCAGTGGGGATGGCTGCCGCAGACACATCTCACTGCTGGCCCGGTCGTCCCGCTGGAACCCTCCTTCCTAGCCTCTGCCTGGGGCTTGCGGTGGGAGCAGCCAGGCCATCCTGTGGGGCTAACTGTGCAACTACCCCTGACAGAGAACCCGCCTATCTGCACATTCAGTGAGCACCAGCTGTGTGCCCAGCCCCATGCCAGGCCCTGGGGAAACGACACTGTTCTTGTCCTCCAGGAGCTCACGCTTTAAAGAGCAACATGTTCCCTAATAAACACAAACACTGCTCACGCAGTGTGACCTGGGCTCTGATAAGGCACATGCAGCACACCATGGTGACTAGAGCACTAGCTCCAGAAGTTGACAGAAACGTCACAGAAGAAGTAACATCTAAGAATCATACAAGTTCACATCACGACGTAGAGGGGGAAAGACCGTCCAGGTGGAGGTGAGAATGTGGGCATAGTTTTTAAGGCTATTTCCAGTCCAACCTCAACATATGAGATCTGAGACCTCAAGCTTTCATTTTAAAATAATCTCCATTTCTTGGTTTATAAGAGGAAGAAAAAATTACTTCTTAGGGGCACTGGCTCCTAAAAAATTAAAGTGGGAAAACTTACATTAACTTTAAAGGTCTGTACCGAGCCATCTAAAAAGCGGATGCTGCAGACGACTTCAGATCGAGTTTTTTCTTTGGGTAATTCTGAGGTGCGTATATTAATTCTTCCACCCAACGCTCGTAATCGGGAGGTCATAACTATCGTTGAATAACCTGTAACAGAAGACGTACCCGTTAGCTCTCTGATATGCAAATCACCCGTCGTGCACGACTGCGCCACGCAGCCTACCTACCCTACACCTGTCCGCTTTGATCTTCGCAATACGAGGATGACACCAACAGTGAGACTATGCGACAGACCATGCTTCTGTTTGAGTTTTGACGTCTAAGCAGCTCTAAGCAAAACTTACTGTGGAATCGTAACATGTTCACAAGGTTACATGGCTTGTTTATGTGTTTTATTATCTCCCTGGTTTAAATCTTCCCAAGCTTTTAATTTTTTGTTTCACTCTTTTATATATTTGTGGATTCCCTCCCCTAAGGTTTTACAGAACTACTTGTGGTGTGAAAATGACTTAAAATATAAAGACGTTTACTGATAAATTACATCCCATTAAAAGTAAGAACTTCTATTCATTAAAAGAAACTATTTACAAGAATAAAAAGGCAACCCACAGAAATATTTGCAGTACATATTTACAAATCTACACCTGTGAATCAACAAGGGAAAAAACAACCCATTAGAATATAGGAGCCACCTTAGTTGTCAGAGAAATGCAAACTAACACCACAAAGCCGCAGCACCACACCCCCAGCAGGACGGCCCCAGTGAAGTCTGAACCACCCAGCGCTGAGCAGGGTGCGGAGTACCTGGCGTGCTCACGCACTGTGGGCGGCACACACGGTCTGGCGGGACCCACTCCGCTGAGCCTACGTGTATCCTGTGCCAGAGCAATGCTACTTCGAGACACATTCCCAACAGAAGGAACGTACCATTTGTTTCACTAAAATAGGTCTACAAGAATCTTCATGGCAGCCCCAACCTGGAAAAGACCGAATGCCCATGAGCAGAATGGGTAAGTTGTGGTGGGGGCACACCACGCATGCTACACAACAAAGGGCGTGAAGGGATGACTGTTACACATGACAGGAATGAATTCCTCTAAAATCAGATTGAGCAACAGACGCCAGAAACAATAGATTACCTATAGTGTGAACACAGTCACATGAAGTTTTAACACAGGCAAAACTAATCCATGCTCAGAGAAAACAGGAAGGTGGTTATTTCTGGGTGCAGGGACTGAGGGGGGCACAGGGTTTTCTGGGATACTGCACTATTCTAGTTCTTGATCTGGGAGCTAATGAGACTGCTGTCTTCACTTTGAGAACATGGTTTGTGTACACCTTTGTGTATGTGTTGTATATTTCAATATCAAGTTTACTTAAGAATGCATGTAGGAAGAGGGGATTAGTGGCAAGGTTAGACTCTGACCATGGTACAGTCAGGGAACAAGGGAAGTGGCTAAACTAGGGAATGCAATTGTGAGTGGTAGACTAACAACCTGAGAAGTGTGCAGCTGAGCGGACAGTTGCTTTATGCAGGTGGGAAGCCAAGGATGGAGGCCAGCTTAAGGAATGAAGAAGGTGTAAATCTGGCAAGGTCGGGCAGAGGAAGGGATGAAGATGAAGGACTTAAGAGCAATTCGATGTTCCTTTTCATTAATTCTCTGCGAGGCTTCTACAATGAACTGGGCCTTCACACATGCTGTTCCTTCTGCCTTTTCGCTTAACTCCTGCTCACACCTCGGTGCTCAGCGCAGCATCACCCCCTCAGGGAAGCCTCCCCAGTGTCCCTAACCGCCCGGCTGTGTTCTAGGCGCTCTCCTCGGAAGTGCTCCCTGTAATATCACATTTATAAGTAATAATGTGATTAGTTAACAGTTGCCTCTCCCACTTCGGGTAAGTTTCATGAGCGTAGGAACCAGGGCTGGTTTTGCTCCCTGTAGCCCCAACACTTAGCTCCGGGAGGCAGTCCATGAGTTTCTGAATGAATCAATGAATGGCAGGCAAAATGAAATGAAACATGAAGCCCAGATTTATAGTGTGGAAAAAGAGCAGGCCAACATGACAGACAAACTTGCACTGGAGAGAGTAGGCAGGAAGGATGATGGAGATGGTGATGCCTCGGGCGCCGGTGCCCTCACACAGTAGCATGCACCTGGATGGCTTGGCTTGGGGATCTTAAGATGTACACTTGGATCCAAGCAGGCTGGGTGGAGCTCAAAAGCCTGCATTTCTTGGTCTCCCAGGTGACACTGAAGCTGATCTGAGGTCCACCCTGTGAGGGCAGGTCACAGATACCTGGACAAGCGGCACCCCAAGCCAGGCAGGGCCAGACTCGGGAATCATTAGCAAGGGAGGGATGAGGACAAGGCAGAATCAAGCCTCAGGGAACAACAGAGGTGCAGCTGCAGGAAGTGAGAACACCGGAGAGGAGAGCTGCGGAGGAGATGCCTCCAGGAGAGAAGGTGCAGTGATCCCTTATCCTGTTTAAGGAGCTCCGGGGGAAACGCCGTTCTCCTGAAGGAAGGAACAGGGAATCTCGTCATCATCATCGTCATCATATAAATTCCTGGGACTGGCAGTGGAAGGAAACTTGTCCTGCAACTTACAAAATTCCACCCACCCCGCCACCTCCATCTTGCCATTTCCAATGAAAATGTCATCCGAAGCGGGAATGCATTTTCTGAGTAATACCCAAAGTTATCAAGACAACAAATGCATTCGTGCCACAATGCCTTAACCATACTGAATTTAAAATGTCAAATTTAGAAAGAGAAATGAAGGACTTCCACCAAAATGGAAGCATAGGTGGAGACGCTGTGCTTTCTCACACAACCAAGTTTAGAGACAACGAAATATTAGCAACAGAAAACACAGCCAGAACACAGAAAATTGAACTTTTCGGAAGTCTGTTAACAACAAATTCTTCAGCCTGACCAGTAAGAGGGGCAAACCCAGCAGCTGCTGGAGTGGGGTTGCACAGGAAAACTCGGTCAGATGGACTCAGGCACATGGATCCCAGGCATGGGGGTGCAACGGGCAGACCCAGTGAGTGACCCAGTGAGTGACTCAGTGAGCAACCGGCAGACCCAGCGAGGTCGCAGGGTGGTGGGTTGACTGTGGCCGCGCATTCGTGCGCAGATAGACCAGCGAGGGAGTATGTGGTAAGATAAGGACCCAGCAGGCCCCAGCGGCGAGAGGCAGCTGCCATTTCCCCACTCTGACCCCGCCCCCACATACAGCATCACAACCCAGCGACCTGGGTGGCCCCACCCTGGTGAACACTGAGGCTCTGCTCCTCATACTTAACGGGCTCGAACAGAACAAATATGGCTCAAAAAGATCTCAAAGTCCCAGAGCCCATAAATCTAAGCGATGAAGAAATAGCAAAACTTTCAGATGCACAGTTCAAAACACTGGTGATCAGGATGCTCACAGAACTGGTTGATTTTAGTCACAAATTAAAGGAACATATGAAGGCTAAACTAATTGAAATGAAGGGAATTGCACAGGAAACCAATAGTGATGGAAAGGAAACTGGGACTCAAATCAAGGGAGTGAACCAGAAGGAAGAAAAAAAATGGCCAAACAGGAAAATAGGAAGAAACAAGAATTCAAAAAAAATGAGGAGAGGCTTAGGAACCTCCAGGACATCTTTAAACGCTTTAAACATCCGAATTATAGGGGTACCAGAAGGGGAACAGGAACAGCCACCAGTGGAAAACTTATTTGAACAAATAATAAAGGAGAATTTCCTCAATCTGGCAAAGGAAATAGACTTCCAGGAAATCCAGGAAGTTCAGAGAGTCCCAAAGAAGTTGGACCCAAGAAGGAACACACCAAGGCACATCATCATTACATTAGCCAAGATTAAAATGAAGGAGAGAATCCAGAAGCAGCAAGAGATAAGGGGACAGTCACCTACAAAGGAGTTCCCATCAGACTGTCAGCTGATTTCTCAAAAGAGACCTTGCAGGCAAGAAGAAGCTGGAAAGACATATTCCAAGCCATGAAATCCAAAGACCCACAACCAAGATTGTTCTATCCAGCAAAACTTTCATTTAGAGTGGAAGGACAGATAAAGTGCTTCTCAGATAAGATCAAATTCAAGAAGTTCATCATTACCAAGCCCTTATATATGAAATGTTAAAGGGACTTATCTAAGAAAAAGAAGATTAAAAAGATGAACAGTGAAAGGACAGCAAACTCACAGTTATTAACAACCACACCTAAAACAAAAGCAAACTAAGAGGACAGCTAGATCAGGAGTGAACCACAGAAACGAAGATCACATGGAGGGTTAGCCACAGGGGAGTGGGAGGAGGAGAAGGGGGGAGAAGGTACAGAGAATAAGTAGCATAGATGGTGGGTAGAAAATAGGGGGGGCGGCAAGAATAGTATGGGAAATATAGACTCTAAAGGACTTGAGACACATGTTCATGAACTAAAGGGGGGATGGTGGGGGAGGGGAATGAAGGGGGGATAGAACAAATGTAATGGCATAATCAATAAAATAAAAAAACAAAACAAAAAAACAAAACAAAAAAATGTCTAATTTATTACTGTTTAGTCCTTGTCTAAGAACTTCAGGTGGGTTATGACTTTTAAAAAAAGACACACTAGGAAACGTTAGTGGGAGGTACGCACTAGAGTCACTGGGGGAGCTTTTCAAAGACGTGCCTGTCCTGGCCCCATCCATAGATGGTGACTCAACACCTGGGGTGTGGCCCACGATGGCCTTCTCTTTGGGAAGCCCTCAAAGGAAGGGCGGGCATGGGAGGGCTTGAGGAGTTGGTGTTTGGGGCACCTCCAGGCACCGCTGGAGGGTGGGGCTTAGAATACAGGGTCCGCAGAATCTGAGCCGTGCTCTGGAGACCCCTGTGGGAGTCAGGCAGGTCCTCAGCACAGCTGACATAGAGACTTAATTATGCCATGGCTCTGGACAAGAAAAAAAAAACCAAAGTCAATTTCGAACAGGAGCCCGAGCACCTGCGTGGGTACCAGTGGGTCTTCCGAATGTCACCACAGTTTATGGTGCTTTCCGGCACGATCTTGTAGCCCACTGACAAAATACCATAAACCGGCAACCCAGAAGAGACGCATTTTTTTCCTCCTCTGTTACATAAAGGCCTTAGAACTTAACGACAACA